GGGTAATCAGATGCAACAACAGGTATCCCGTATGCCATGGCTCGAATTAGTAATGGAGGAAAATTTTGTTCATCTTGAGAAGAAGAATAGAGTACAATGTCGGACATCATTATAAGACCGTTGACATCACCATTTATACCATAGTTGTATAAGGATCCTTGATGCAGTCCAAGACGGGTAGCAACATCCTACAAAAAAAGACAGACAGGTAACATGTGATTGATGGCAAAAAAAAGAGTGTGGTTGATGAAAAAGGCTTTTAAAATATGTGCAGTGAAGGAAAAGACTTAGAGTGCAGGAATGGAAAATTTGAGGGGGCTTAGGGTTAGAAATGTCAAGTACCAACTAAAAAAGAAATAAAAGAGAAAATATGAAATGTGAGGTTTGTGTACGCACACCCTCCCTAGAATGAGTTATATATGGTTTCTAACATGTAATACTTTCTCTTTTATTTCTTTTTATATTTTGTAATTTATCATTTTATATAATAGGGGTAAGGTTTGTGTACGCACACCCTCCCTAGATCCTACTTTCGTGGCATTCTACTGGGTTTTGTTGTTGTAATTCTGAAATTTATCACCTTAAAGCAATTCCTTAAAATGAACCCCCACCCCCCACACACACATCCATCTCCCAAACATGCACTAAGGGTATTTAATGTAATTCTACTTATAATTCAATACAAACCGTATTAGCCTGAAATCGGAAACATATTAGTCTCTTTTAGGCCAAATTCTGAAAGGAAAAAAAACACTCAGGAATTCAAGGTTGTGTACCTGCAAAACATAATTATATCCTTCAGTGGTGTTTCCAGACAGAAACATGAATTTTACTCTATCACCCATATCTTTCAATCCTACGTATTTTATTAGCAACGGTTCTATCTCTCGCATAGGTAAAACATAATCCCATGATAGCTTATTGTAGAGGAATGAACTTCCAACAACCAGAACAAGTATATCGTCTTTATCAAAACCATATTCCTCTCTTAACTGAGATTTGGAATGGGTTCTACTGTAGCTTTCAGCTGCCCAAACATCTTTTGGAGATCCGGGTATGACAAAGAAGTTTCCAGTGTCAAGCGAACTATATAGCATCTGGGGAAAAGGAATATGTGTAAGCATAATGATTAAAAACGCTAACAATAATACTATAAGAATAAGTAAACCAAACCAAACACAACATACCCAGTGTGTTTCAGTGTCCCACTTGGAATTTTTTTTTTGGGGGGGAGGGGTGAAAAAATATAAGAATGAGTGTGACAGAAAACTAAAATAGCTACCGGCAAAGAAAAATCTGGAAACACAACAACATCAGCTCTGCGAAATGCAACCCTCCAGTGTGAAATAAGATGCTCCCAGCCCATACTCTCATACAATTGAAGCCTATTTGCTAGTGTGTCTTCATGAATCATCCATATGAGGGGCACTGAACAAAAGGGCTCCTGCATAAGGCTGCATAAACATAATACTCACAAAACTATAATATTTAGAGCAAACCAACATGTTGCATTGAATCATTGATCCTAGGCAGTACGAATGTCAATTGTCAATCCTATTCAAAGTTCATGCTCAATTGTCAATAGGTAATATGCATAGATAATGATGTCTTTCATAGCTTAGTAGTTCTTGTATATGCTACAGATTCTAGAAAACAGTTAGAAACACATGAGAAGCACATTATGTTTATATTCGATATGGGTTAAAGTAAACAAATTTTGAACTGGATAAAAACCCAAAAGAAGCAATACAAGAGCCTTGCCTAAACTTGTGTTAGGTAGGAATAGTCCTAACCAAGAAAGCCAACAATTTATTAGCCAACCTAGTTAGTACCTTGAAATGGCTCTTTTATCTTCAAGAGAGTCAGCAATAACACCGTCAAAACTGAAAATGATGGAAATGTAAATTAGTATAGAGCCATAAGAAAAGGATCTACTTACCCTGACAAACAACACACAAAACTTTGAAATAAAAAAAGAGACAAAAAGTAAAAGGACAAGTGAAACAGACAACCATAAACAATATATTAATCGTAGCTCTAAAATATAAAAAAACACAAACAGAGAATACGTACATTGACCAGTCAATAGAGCTATATCTTTCAGCAACTAAAACTGAAACTTCAGCTATTTTTTCCCACAGTGGTCTTGCATTGCCTTCCTCTAAAGCATATACCTACAGAAGATTTGTTTTATAAAGACATTAGTTCATTTACACATTCAAAACATCTGTTCATTCATACATGAAAAAGTAAACTATACAATAAAAAAACATAAACCAAAGGCTGAAGATGCCTAAAGTTAGAAATGTCAAGTACCAACTAAAAAGAAATAAGAGAGAAAATATGAAATGTGAGCATAAATTGGATATCTACAAATACATAGGAGTTGAAAATAGAGGAAATGACTTCATTCAAAGTGAGGACAAAGTAGAAGTGAGTGAGGAGAGAGCAAAATAGTTTAGAAATATTCAATGGCAGTTTAGGAAAATTTACAGTATTGGAGCAAAGTGTTGTGGTAGAAAGAAGAATTTTCAAAGTATGCCAAGTACGACGTAGATCATGTTTTAGGCTAAAAAAGGATTTAGTTCATTGCCAATGCCCATTTACTTATGCAGCATTATGCACTGCAATGGAGGATGCACAAGTTTATGATAAAACATTGAAGAAGGCGTTTTAAGCTAAAACAGTATATAAGACATTATAAGTTTAAATATTGTAGAAGGGTAGTACTAGCAGCTAGGACCTTAAAATATCACGGCATTACATGTCATCAGTCATTACTCTGCTGGAATAAAAATTTTACAAAACACAACTCAAGATGGGTCAGCAAAACAAGAGTAGTTAATTAATACACACTTTTCCCTTTAAATAAATATCACATCATGTAGCGACAAATTTGTAGTGACTTTAACAATCTTTCATTTTAGAATATGGGTTTCGACATTGAATACATCAGAATATTAAGACAAAAGTTGTATCAAGAAATTACCTTAATCAAATAGCCCAATTCCTTTAAATACTTTGTTATTGTATACAGCATCAAGGACAATGGATTTTTCTTCAAATTTCCTACAATCTTACACAAAGAAAACAGGTCACCATCACATTTATGAAGCATAATTTAAGCCAAAAACACTATGAACATACAGTTCCTTGAGCAACACAGGACAGTAGACTATGGTTAACTTCTGGCAGAATAGTATAGATAAGATTATCATTGACAGTGCCAGCACATTAAACTAATGGTGAGTGGTGACGTAATTGTATAGCATTCGTTATCAGCCATTTCATATATATCTTTCCTCAATGGTAACGTAATTACCATATGTATATAAAATGATTATCAATTAATTACGTACTGCATCAATTAATTAATGCGGGGTCGTATATAGATATATAATAATACGAGTAAGGAGTTAGAACACTTACTAGACCAATACGGCGAGCCCGAACTCCGATCCTGGGCAGACTCGGACACCGAGCAAAACCATTTCCGAACTCAAACCTCCGGGAAGGTTTAAACTCCAGCGAGGTCCCTAACTTCAAGTCATCCCTAACTGGCCACAGCCGACGCCGCGTCTCACTCCCCATGCCTTGCCTCAACGCCGACATGATCGAGCTCTGGAGCGCCACAGACGCCAACGCAAACATAAAAATGACAAGGAAAATACAGAAATAGAACCATGATCTGCCTCTGAGTGAGAAGAAGATGAGCATCCTCCTAGTCAGGGACCGGTTGTGGTGAGATCGCCCGCCGCCTGCCGCCTTCCACTGCCGATCCGCAGATGAAGGCGGCGCCCTGAAGGAGCGCGGGAGGGAGCCACTGGAACTAGGGTTCCGCTTGAAGCGAAAACGGTCGCGGATCGAGTGCAATGCCTCTGAGTTGACGGCGTGGTTTTTGTTGCTCTCTTCGTCGTCGGAACTAGCCGAGCTGCGGCCCATTCGTGAATCGTCGGTGAGCCCGAGTTGGACTCAACTCTGTGAATTTGAGCTGTTGATCGACATGAAAATTTTATTTTATCGCAGAAAATGCTTTTTGCTTCGTTCTGTTTCTTCGCTCCACTGCTTCACTCCGTCGGTTTTGTGCGTGAAATTTTTTTGTTTTCTTTTTTTTAATCCAAATTATTTTAAATTCCAATTTCTTTTAAATAAAAAAATATTGTCCCCATTTGGCCACTCTTTTTGACTTTATATTTGTTGTTTATTGAAAATTTGTTGAGATGATTCTTGGGCTTTTAAAATTATTTTAGAGGAATGTTTTTACCATTCTAAAATCTATACACTTTTTTCTATAAACGAGAAAGAAAAAAAATATCTAAATAAAATTAAAATATACAGTATAAAACCAATAAATTATTATGCTCTCTAAAATATAAAGTATTATTAATATTATTTCGATACAATATTGACGTTTTTCTCTAATTTAATTTATTTTAAAATCAATTTAAAGATGTAAACTTATGTATTTAAGACTTACATAAAATGTATATTTCGTACTCCTGTATAAAACAAAAGTTGATGTAATTGTATTAATTTTTTTAATTATCAATAAAAATAGATTAAAAAAATAAAAATACCCTGAAATAATAAGTCATAGGTGGTTCAAAGGTGTGCAAGTGGCCAACCACACATGCCGTTTAAAATTTTAAAGTCTCATATTTTTAAATTGGTAGTGAGTATTAGTTTTAAAACATAAGTATTCTAAAAAAATAAAATAAGGCCCAAAATATAAATTTTGAACAAGACTAATTTTATTTTTTTATTTTTCGGGCCGGCCATGTAATAAGTTAAAATGTTTCATTTTTTTTATAAGATGAGTGTATAAAGAAAAATAGAAAGAAAGCATTTTTTTAAAGAAGAAATGAGAATTAAAAGGTCAAAAAACCCCAAATCGCATTGCCCCCCTTGCACACGGTTATTCCTTTTTAAAAGTCATCTCTGCATGTCGGTGCCGTTCTTTTTGGCCATCTTTGTGGTTTTTTTCCTTTTGTGTATTTGATTTGCAAACACTTCTGTTTAATTTAATCATTTACGGAGAAAAATGGTTGCTCCCTGTATCTATTTTATTCTTTTTTTTAGTCTATCTTTACCCCCTAGATTGACTTCTTTTGACATATATATTAACATTAAGTTTAATATTTCGAAAGTTGAGAAGTTATTTTCAAGAGATTCTTTGTTCAAACTCGCGAGAAAAAAAAAGAACACAAAAGATATATAATATAAAGAAAGTACAAATAATGCACAAGGAAACGATTAAACCAAGAGTAAGAATAAATAAGTATCAAAGTAGAAGTTCTATGTTTCTAACTTTAAAATAAAAATTATAATGTCAATAGTATTATTATATAATATCAAAAAACATTACAGAATGTCAATATATAGTGCTACATTTTCATATTACAAATTTCTCTTTTTTTAAGAAAAATATCATAAATATCCTAGTTTGAAAATAAGAGCTATGTTTTACTTTTATTTTAGGTGATTTATTATAAAACACAAAGCACATAGAGACAAAGAATAAAATAAACTAGAGTTAAAAATGAAAAATTAAGGCAATCGCAGAACACAATGAAGAGTACAAGGAATTGTCCCCTAGTCTAAAGCGTCTATCCAAATACTTTAATCCTAGCTCTACAAATGCTCATATCTAATGTCATATTCTCAATAAGGGCAAGAAGTCCTAATTCATGTCTAATCTCTCTTTTCCAATTATTTATAGGTGTACTCATTCATGTTCCCCAACCCATCAAGGTAAGCCTCTCGCATCTCTGCATTAGGTTGTCATTATTCTGCTGCCTCACATGCCCAAACCACCTCAAACTCACTTTTCGCAACTTTCTTTCACTTGTGCAATGTCAACTCAACTTCGGATAACCTCATTCGAAATTCTATCGAGCCTCGTCTGCTCACACATCCATCGCAACATTTTCATCTTTGCAACATGTAGTCAATGAACATAAACTCTCAATTGGAGCATATGATTCATATTCCCTTTTAAACATAGCACGTGTTTCGACTCATGGACTTTTAAAAATAAACTTTATTCAATAATTGTTGGAAAAGAATTTCACCAGACGATCCAACCCAAAGAAGCAGATCAGATTAATGAATGACAATGATAGTGAGAAAAGCACGAACCTTGAGAATATGAAGAATGGTGCAAGTATGAATTAGTTGTAATGAGTTTGAGAATTACAATGGGATTTTACCCCCTATTTATGGGTCTAGCCTTTGCACTATATAGGGGAAGTGCTAAAATATGGTAGTTAGATCAGGACGACAGGACCTGATCTTCCTCCGCCTTTCATGTTAAGCTTTGCAATCCTATCTATTCTGCAATCAGACACGGTCCATCACGGGGAGAACAAGATTTTCTTTTCTTGTGCATGATTAGGCCAAGCAAGGGACCCTTGGTTTAGCTTGGCATGCTGGGCTCCACAAAGATGTCAGACCGTTTGTATTAACTATTAAGCTAGGCCTAAATCGGACGTTGATGTCGTTGTTCCAGCCCGCAACACTAAAAAAAGCATGCCAAAATCACAAGTCATTTGAAGACATAACTTCAAGTATGATATTAGGCGTGAGATTCATCCTAGGAGATTTGACCATGCTACCCAGTGGAACAATTTTTTTCATTCTCAATGCATGCAATCAATGATCTCAGGAATACCTCGCGTATAACTGCTCAATGTCGCTCGCTGTCAACTTACGTAAATATCTTTTATAATAAAGTCAAATAATAGCTTTAGAAAATTTATTAACCACATGACTTGATGCTCCGAATTGGTATCTTCAAGTATTCGTCGAACATATCACTACCCGTCCAAAACATAATCTGACGAAAGACAGCAGTACACTTCAGGACGCTACTAAAATCGCGCCGGCCTCTCGCATCAAATCATTGGTAGAACCAAGGCACCTTACGTTCAATATCGCCGAGTATGCATAAAAAAAGAGAACGTCTCATCTGAAATCGATTACTAAAATCTTTCGGTGTGTAAACACAGAGTATTGGAGTAGTCGTTAAGCAGCTACTATTCTTGTGTAGTCACCCAATCAGGATTTAAACGTTCACTTCAGTTTGAGCGTTCGGACGATTCTACTTCTTCTAGTTGGCCTTCTTGCCATCATTAATAACAACCCACTATTACCAAGCAGACTGCAAAAATATGAAATTTTGATGAGAGGGACTGAGGAGGGAGAGTCGAGAACAATGACAAGTACTCCCTAATTAAAAGACGAGCATTTATTCGTCATTTCGCCGTCCTCTTCCACTTGCCGTCGCCGTCATCCCGCCCGCCGCCTGCCACTGTATATTCATCTCTCTCTCTATTTCCGCACGCCGAACTTCATCCTTATCATTACCATCGCTTTGTTCAGTTTTGAGATTGCGGATTATCCGATCCGAAGCTTCCAGACTGCACTTGATCTGATCAGGTTCTATTTTCATTCCAAACCAGCTTTGTTTTTCATTTCCCGAGATCTATGGAACGAATGAACTGGAGTGCCGAACTGCACGCTTTTTTTGTGATATTCATAGAAATTTAATTTCCTGAATAGTTTCCAATTTTTGAGGGATAAATTGAGGCGATTGTGACAGGGAAACCTCAAGGACTGGAGTGCAATATGTATAGAAATAGTTTCAAATCCGTGTTGTATTTGGATTTGAGCGAAATCTTTTATCTAAATATATGGTTGCGTGGTCTAATTGTTAATTCAACTGTATTTAGAGATTGGGAACTTAGGGAAAGTGGATAGTTATCTATATTGAGAAGTAAGACAGGTAATCATAATTAGTGAAAAATGTTATTTTCATTCCTCTATTTAGGAGCAAGGTCTTTCTTTAAGATGCCCATTTCCTTAAAACTCATGTCACCTAAAGATGGAATTTTCATTGAAAATGACTGAACAGTGGGTATCTTTGAGGTATATTTGTACTTATGTTGTCTGAATTGCAAGATTCTTTTCTTTGGTATTACATAAAAATAGTACAGTTTTGCATGTTGTAATGTTATATTTTCTTTTAATGGTTAGCAGATGTTAAGGTAAAAGGAAGGCAAACCGATAGCACTAAGGATGAAGGGAGGTTTGAAGGTTTCACAGATCTCTCTCATCCTTATTGGTTTCATATGCATAACTGTTTTGACTTTGGCTTTTGTGAGAAGTCCATTTCTCTCTTCTTGGATACCCCCCCAGAATAACGTCTTACGCCCATCACCAGGTTTGGAGAATATTTATTATTCTGAACAGTATAATATGATTTCCTCTAGAAAATTGCACTTGTCTACCATCCCCAGTTTTTTCAGATCAGTTTAGCATACCTGGAATGTTTATTGTGAACAATAAGAAATTAGTGAGGTTAAAAACAGCTTTGAGGGGATTTTTTATAGTTTTCTCAATTACAACTACAACTATAGTTTTCTCAATTGAATTTAATAATGCCTTGCTTTAAGTTATTGGTAAGATTTTCCTGCCCTATTACCCTTTTACCCCCAGCCCACATTTGGTTGGAGGAAAGTGAAATGTTGTGTGTTTTGAAGGGAGGAAAGTTGGGGAGCAGGAGGGTCATAGGCTCCTCCAAACTCCTCAGATCTCACTCCCTCAGTTTTGGGCATTACATAGAACTAGTGTTTTTTCTGAACTTCTTTTTCGCCGGATAAAGAATTGCTCTACATTCTTCTTAGGCATATAGATTACTCATAGTACATTTTTAATCACAACAAAAAACTATGGAACATAACCAAACCAAAAAATCCAGTATCTCCTATTTGAGGGTAGGGTTGGTCGAGGGTGGGGGAGACTTTACCTTTACTTCAAGGAGTAGAGAGGTAAGCAGAGGTTGTTTATGAGAAGATCCCCAATGAACTGTAAGACGTAGTGTGAGCATGAAGGTTGCACATGCATGCACACAGATCCCCTACAAGGGCTCTACCGCCCTAATACACTGTCTCCATAATTCTTGTATGAGGTCATGTCTTCAAAGAAGTTTAAGACATCAAATTCCAACCTCAACTGTTCATCCCACATCCTGTGAGGTCTGCCTCTCTTGGCTCCCTTAACCATATACTACGTATCTCTCTACTCTCCTGCTGCTGCGTCTCTAGGATGTGACCAAACCACGACTGAAATATATAGAATACAAATTTTCTATGTATTTTTCTAAAATTACAATTCCTTCTCAGTCCACTGACCCAAACATAACATCTTTTTAAATAATTCTATTTTCTCCCCCTTCCCTTACCCCTCCCCCCTCCCCACTATTTTGAAACAAGTGCTTAGGAATGATGGTTCATATCCAGGTTATCATTTGACATTTCATTGCTTAATTTCTTTGTCTATTTTCACATGAAATTCTTATCAGCTCCTATTGCATAACTAATCCTTCCCTCATTCAGGGGTAGAGCTGGGAACAAAATACGGAGCAGATCGAGGAAAAGGAAATACTTCAGTGCAACCAAGTCAAGTTGTAAGCTCTGTATCGCTAGAAAGTTCTATCAGCACAAGCTCTTCATCAGAGAGAAAGAGCACAGAGGAGTTGATTGCTCATGTTGATGTGGAAGAAGGTAAGACTTTTTAATGCATGAATGAATATATTCTATCATCCATGTCTCTACTGATTGCCAATAGAGGACCCGAAGTATAGTTAAAATTAGTGTGTCCAGATTCATAAATTACTTTAATAGAAGACACAAGAAGATACAAGAGTTCTCACTGGTAGAGTCACTTTATGAATAAATTAGTGACTTCTTTTGGGCTCATAAACAATTTGAAATTTGAATTAATACTTTCGTTTAGATACTTATCTTTTACACATGCTTTAGTTACATGAATAATAATTAGCGTCACTTGAGTCTTGAGGTATATAGGTGTAGTTTGGTAAGATAAATTGACAAACTTTGACCATTAATTAAATATTGTCCCAGAAATAATTTTATTAGATTTATTTTTAAAAAATTCAAAATATTGTTTTATTTAAATAATAAACCATATAAATTTCATTAAATTATATGTCAAACTTCAAAAGTGTTTGACTACAAAACGTCAAAACTGGACAAATACTCAGGGACGGAGGTACTACCTCGTAATTGATATTTTGATTCTATTACATGTTGTAACGGTCTACCAAGGTACACCATATACTACTTAAGGGCCCATTCAGTTTTAGGTTTTGGTTTTTACGATTTCAAAAGCTATATTAAGTTGGTTTTATAGTTAACTAAAAAGTAGTCATATTACTGGCAAAGAAAAAAGTAGTCATATTTATACTAATAATGTTATTTTCAAAAATTGCCAAAAAAAAACTAAAAAACATATTTCCTGGTTTTCTAAATATGTTTTTAGTTTTCAACAAAAACAGAAAGCAAAGTAGAAAGTGATACTGGACGAGCCCTAAATAAATAGACAAATTCGTTCGTGGATACCTTTTCTGGTTCTGTGGTAATGTAGTTTTTTTTTCCGCGATGCTTTCTTTTTTACCTTTTGTAATTATGCAATTATGCTTTGTGGGCTTGTAGATGGTCATGTTAGAGACACTAAAGAAGCAGATAGAACACAAGTTTCAGGAGGAAAGAACAATTCAAATGAAGAAAAAAACATCAATGCTGCATTGCATTCTCTTAGCACAGAGAATTACATTAAAGGACAACCTAAAGACAATTTGACAACCCATTCAGGACAAAGAGGTTTCACTTATTTTAATAATAATAATTAAAGTCAACCTTGGATTTCTAACTAACTCAACTGTTTAATAGTAGAGAATAAATCAGATGTTCACTACTTGCGTACTAACATTTCCTCTCTTTTTCCTTGATTTCAGACTGTAATCTTGCCATAGGTAAATGGGTCATGGATGACAGTCGCCCTTTATATTCCGGGCATGCATGTAAACAATGGTTGTCATCTATGTGGGCTTGCCGCTTGACACAACGCACAGATTTTGAATATGAAAAATTACGCTGGAAGCCTCATGACTGTGATATGGAAGATTTCACAGCTTCTAAATTCCTTAAAAGGTAACAACATATTGGTTGGTTTCTTTACAAATGTTGTCATTGTCATATGTCAACCCTCTATAATTTCATTGGAGAAAGAATACCTTCATCGTGAAGTCATCCTATACGTGAACTGATGCTATTTCTTCTGCTAACCCCTAACCAGGACTATTTTAGGTTTAAATACTTCTTCCCGCCCAAAAACCTTTAACTACTTTCCTTTTTTGGCCGTCCCAAAAAACACTTCCCTTTATTTCTTTTTTTAGTAATGAATTTGTGGCTCACAAGATTTTTCTCTCATCTAAACAAATTCTTGAACAATTTTCATTCTTGAACACTTTTCAACTTTGTGAAAGTCAAAGGAGTTAAGTTTTTTGGGGCGGATGGACTGTGTTTTTTGTCTCTGCAGATATGGTTTTTTACAAGGCCCTTATTTTCTGTTACCCTAGTACTTTGTGCTGTTGTTGGATTATTTAAGGCTAAAAAAATAGAACCACTAAGTGGAGGATTCTCTTAACTTGATGATGATGATTCCAGGATGGAGAACAAGACTTTGGCCTTCGTAGGGGATTCATTGGGCAGACAACAATTCCAATCACTAATGTGCATGATAACGGGCGGTGAAGAGAGATCGGATGTCCTTAATGTGGGCCATGAATATGGACTCGTGAAGGCCCGTGGGGCAGTACGGCCTGATGGATGGGCTTACCGGTTCCCAGCCACTAACACCACCATCCTTTACTACTGGTCCGCAAGCCTTTGCGACTTAACACCCATCAACTCCTCAGACCCATCAACCCAATACGCCATGCACCTTGACCGCCCTCCCGCATTCTTGGCCCGTTTCATTCCCAGATTCCACGTTCTCGTTCTCAACACAGGGCACCATTGGAACAGGGGAAAGCTCAACGCCAACCGGTGGGTCATGTATGTGGGTGGGACCCCCAACACCAACAGGAAGATATCAGACATCGCTGGCGCCAAGAATTTCACTATTCACAGCATCGTCAAGTGGGTGAACTCGCAGCTGGGCAAATATCCAGACCTGAAAGCGTTTTACAGGTCGATATCCCCCAGGCATTTCTTCAACGGGGATTGGAACACCGGGGGTACATGTGACACCACCACCCCACGTTCCGGGCTGGAAGTCTCAGCCAACAAATCGGGTGATTCCTTTGCAGAAGGGGCAGTGAGAGGGACAGGTGTCAAACTTTTGGACATTACGGCCGTTTCTGAGGTGAGAGACGAAGGCCACATATCGCGCTACAGTGTCAAAGCGACGTCCGGGGTGCAGGATTGCTTGCATTGGTGCTTACCGGGCGTTCCCGACACTTGGAATGAAATGCTTTTTGCTCAAATTTTAGATGGGTAGGAAATAGTATTACACAAGAGTTGTGCAGTGATTCAAGTGAAGAAGCAAAAATAGTACTAGTGTTTACTTGGGAGGCCTTTTCTCCTTGTAAATTATTATTACAGCATCATTTTTTCTTCAGATCAATGCCCAGTGAAGCTTGAGTAAAGATCACCCTAGTAGAAACACTTCAAAAATCAATATCTCCCCTGGGAAAAAAATCTTGTTTTAAACATTTGTTTTTGTTCCAAAAAGAGTTCAGTTTGATCAAATAAAGGTGATTTTCTCATGTAATTCATCATAAAGTGAACTCAAATATAAGTTACAGAATACGTTATACGATGACTCCAGTTACCTAAAAAGAGATAAATTGAGTTAGGGTAACGATATCCGTGTGGGTCCACACACAACAATGGAAATGTTTCTCTTCCATTAACATAAAAAAAAGTGGACACATGGAGAGCAAATGATCTCATGAGTTCATAATTGGTAAAATTGATGGTACAATAAGGGCAAAAACTACTTGCTCATAACATTTCTGAAGAAATTTTCCTATTATGACCACCAAAACTATACTACAATGCTACAACCTTGCATTTTTCTAATCTATAATTGACAGTAACAGCTAACATTTTCAGTTCCAAAATCAGACATTTCTAAAATAATTCATGATAGAAATAATTAATAAACACGAATCAACGATGCCTACTTGAGACAAAAAAAACAAATGCATCTGTTGTAGAAAGCTTCGCGTCCAAAAATTAAGGCGGCAAACCCTACAAGTGAGGGACGCCGGGATGCGTTTGTAGAGAGAACCCTTAACCTTGGACAAACTTTTCAACCACTTTACAGTGCTCTTTTTACTGCGGCACCGTGTAGCAGTTGTTGCCGAGTCCATCTGTGGGGCTAAAAATGTATTTGAACTTTACAGGCTTCACAGCCATATATTATGTATGTATGTATGAATGAATGTTGAAATTCCACTGCTGCAGTCTAAAGTCAATCCAAGCAGAGATGCAAAGGGTGAAAATTGCCAAACTTTACAAGCATATTATGTATGTATGTATGATGCTCACTTGTGGGGCATCATCAGACTTTCCCCAGCTGCTTCCTAGTCTCATTTGTATATCCATCACCATCATCATGATCATCATCTGCCATTGGGGTTTTCCCAAGTCAACTTTTGCACAGAAAAGGAAAAAACAGAATACTAGTATCTTTGAAGGTGTAGACTATTATAATCAAGAAAGAGAGAATATACTCCATCCATTCTTTTACAAGGATGTTGGTGTGCAGTGTTACACAAATATTAACAACAACCAAACCCAATGAAATCCCACAAGTAGGGGTCTAAGGAGGGTGTGTGTTCACAGACGGCACCCCTTGTCAGGTAGAGAGGTTGTTTCCAAGAGACTCCAAGAGTACAAACAAAGAAAAGTAGAAAACACATACGCCCGCCACTATCAACTAGAACCAAAGCACAGAAAGCACACATTCACAAACAGTGTTACACAAAATATTAAGGAAGAGGGAAAATATATGGATGGAGTGTAAACTACTAGTATGCCCATATCTTAGGTTAAGAATATGTGAAGTTGTGCCATATTAATTTGAGCATAAAAGGGTAAAATAATAAAAGTGAAACTAATGTTGTCTTGAAAATGTAAAACGAAATCTAATTTGGGTCAAAGAAAGATATGAAAAAAGTGACACCCATTTTGGAATGGAGGGAGTACTTTTCTGTTAATGAAGGCACTAGAAATTTAGTCTTCAAAGCTAGCTGTGCACGCTATTTATTAATGGCATGGGCACCTAAGCATTCCAAAAAACAGTTAAAACTTTTAGTCAGCCAATATTAGTGACAATTCCAAATCCACAACTTCTGCTCGAGACACATTTGATACTCAACTTTAGTTTCAGTCCACTTTTGGTCCGTTGTGTAAAGTACAATGGCATTCCTTATCATCATGCCATGATGCTTATGAACCAAGATGAAGCTTTTAGTTTATATAATGTTTATCTTTTGGAGAACTCACAAGATTTGTATGATATTCATTTGATGTATTCTTTCCAAAGAACTCACAAGTATTATGTGACATTCTCTCCCATGCTGCTTCTTGGAAAATTCGCATTAGTAGCTTACCCCGAAGAAATTTCTTCCAGGCTGAAAGGTCACTGCGGATATATGCCCAAGTTTTTTCAATCAATTTCTCAGCCCACTCCAGCATCCCTGGATAGAGACTCTCAAGCAGTCAGGCAATTATTTTTGGAGGATATAAACTTTCAGATTCTCTGTCCTGCTGAGTAGTAATGAATATTTTTTTGGCAACAAATTGAAAGCTTAGTAAGCTTTAGCTACACTTTGTACACTTTAGAGAATAAGCTTCAGTTTATTCCCCTCACACACAAGTTAGCCATCACACTCTATGGTCCCAACTTCCTTCGCTTTTTTTGTTATAAAAGCAATGTATCTGTATTGCACCCCATGAGATTAATATGAGCAATAGAAAATTTATAACTATCTCCTAAAATTAGTTTTCCATATATTCTTTCCGCTATCTAGGAGGTGGCTATCAATCAATTCAACCCCCTAGCCTCTTTTTGTATATAAATCTGCAAGCCTTCTAATATCTCAAAATTAAAACAATATGAGAAATTGTTAGGCAACAATTTCAGAATAGCCACTCTATAAACAAATTGAAAGTTCTTTCACTTCAAACAGCACATGGAATAAGTATGAATATCTCAAGAGAAAGCAGTGAACTCACCAAGCTACAAACAGCGTTAGGAAGAGCGATTTGTTTAAGCGAACTGGTATCTTATGAACATAACCAGAGCAAGCGCTCAGTCCCCTCTGTTATATTATACCCTTTGCCAAGCATTTCCTCGATCCACCTTCTAGCTTCAGAAGTCCGACGGCGTTTTACCAAACCATGCACTATGATATCATAACTCCACCTGTTTGGCTCATACCCTTTTTGTCTTAAAGAATTAAAGTAACCAGAAGCAAAATCAATCCCACACCTGCTTAGGCTTCTCAATAACATGTTGTAGGTGTATATATCAAGAGGGAAGCACTCCTGGATCAATCCTTCAACTTGGTTAATATCCAGGTCTGCATTACTACAACCTGAAAATACCGCTAGCAGCTCCCCTAATCTCAAACTCTTAAGTGTTGTGTTTTGATCATTCCTTGAAATCCGCCAAACATCATAAATTTTTCGAGTCCTTAAACAATGTAACAGAAGCACATTGCCGATAAACGAGGAAAGTTTTCGACCACTTTGAATCAAGTCATCGACAACAGTTAAAGCAAAATAATACTCCCTGTGAGAGCAAAGCAAACTCACAAGTTCCTCATAAGATTCCATAGTTGGCATCCTCCCTTCACCCCTCATCTTCCAGAATATATCCCATGCAAGCTGTGGCTTGTTTTTTTTGCAAAGGCCCACAATCATGCAGTGCCATATCTTCCGAGAAACTTTTCCTGCCTCTTTGGTTAAATCGTAAAAGAAGTTTAAAGCTTCTGAAATCCTTCCATTTTTCAAATAACTATGCAACAGCAGTATGTGAGAATTCAGAGTTGGCAATGTGCCAGTTCTCTCCATCATTTCATATACTTCTCTGGCAAGCTCAGGTTTTCCAGCATGCCCGGCTCCATCAATGAAGAAATTGTAATTGGCAACACTAGGTTCAAACCGGGTCAACTGCAATTCCATGAACCTGAATAATTGCTGTTCTGGATTGTTCAGTTGACATAAACAGTGAATAACATCTCTGAATAATTCACGGGTAGGTGTGTGGCCATTTTCTTGCATTTCTATAAGTAGTCTTGCTGCAATGTCTGCCCTACTCGTCTTGACACACCCAGTAATTAAGTCAAAGTAAGTATTCCTGCTCGTAACCCTATTATACCGGCTGAGTTGCTCGTGTAGCAAGAACCCATCTTGAACTCGGTTTGATCTACATAAAGCTGATACGAACCTGTTATACATCATGTCACTGGGGGTATGATTGTGGTCAAGAGCAGCAACAATCAACTCATTTACCCTGTCGAGCTTCCCCTCTTTACAAAGAGAATTTGCAATGATGGATAGTGTCCTTCTGCCTGGAAAATAACCTTGTTCGATTGCATTCCTCAGCACACGGGAGGCGTCATCATTGCTTGCATCACCCATTAGAGTGTTTATGAGATAGTTATAAGCCATACTGTTGACAGAGAGATGAAACTCTGCTCTTGCATCATACAGTTCAAGGGCGACTTCAACCATTCCCACTTTGCACAAGAAACATAAAGTGACATTCATGGTGACCTCATCTGGAGATATACCTTGGTCTTTCATCTCCAATAACCAATCATAAACCTCTTCAAGTCTGTTCTCCCTTATTTCGGATGTGTTATTTCACAATATAGCCTTTATTTCTCCTTATACGGGTAGATGGTATAAAGCAAGAAAGTTTTTGAGATTTCGAGGTAGGTCGAAAGGACGGGACTGTTCCAATAATTAGGTGCGTGACATTCGTACTAGGTACATCTGGTTTGGTCTGAACGCTTTGAGAAGGTCGTTGTTAGGTCGGGAGAGTTTGTGTCTTTCCTTTGAAAGAGCATCCACAACAGTGGCCACTACAACCCCATTCAACCCAACCCCACCATCTCCTAACAAACCCCTAACATAAGCTTCGGCCTTGTCCAGCTCACGCCTCTTACATAGACTCTTCATGAATATTGAATTGGTGACTGCATTCTGGAATCCGTTGGTCTTTATCTCCTTTAGAATCATCTCAAAAGCATCATAGAACCCATCATCCACTAACGCATTGAGAAGGACATGATAAGCAAAGTAGTCTAAATTGGTGCCACTAAATCGCATTTTGCCGAACACCTGGAGTGCGAGATCCGGTTTCCCTGCAATGGAGTACCCAATCACCAAAGTGTTGTGGAATCTTAATCTGTGGACATATCTCTGATTGCCGTGATTCTCCAAGAACTCAAGCATCAAGTTATTGAGCTTGGCTTTCGAGAGAATCTTGAAAATGGCAGCGAACGTGGCCTGGGTATGGAAGAACCCAGGCTGGCGACCCGCCCAATCAAAGAACTTCAAGCAGGATAGCACATCTCGACCCTTCTCGTGGTTCAAAATACCTAGAACTAACGTTTCCGACAGACGGAGATTGAAGCGGCTCAAAGCTAAATCGGCCGATGGTTCGTCTTTAGTTCGTAAGATATCGTAGATTCGGTCGAAATTCGTGTTCTCCCTGCTCAAGAACCAATCTTTGAACGTCAAAACCACGTCCTTTGTGTGAAATTCGCAGGTATTTGACGTTTGAGTAGGATTGGAGAGCGGAGCTGATGAATGAAGGCACTCGTGCGAAAAAAGAGTGTACGGATGGGATGAAGATAACGACTCGACGGCCGCGGCTCTGGTGGCGCCGGCGGTGGAGGTGGAGTATAAGAGGAAGAAGAAGAGGTTATTGTTGTTATTGCTGTTGGTGGGCGATGGGGAGATCAAGCTTTTGGCATTTTGGCACCCTGACCTAACCATTAGCCGCATTATTGAGTTGTCCGTCGCGGTTCTGCAACAGCAGGCTGGTATTAATATGTCCCGGACGGCGGTTTGGTGGATGCGCGGCGGCGGAGGCGGCGGCCCTATCCCAAGCGGCTTCAGAGCTTGTCGAACATGACAGCCAGAAAAAATGGAAACCAACCGCAGAACCGAATCAAGGGTACTCCATCACCAAATAAAATGACTCGGTTTTAAGTCTAAGATTATTTTTTCCCTATTAAACTAGATATATTTTAGATTTAGATTATTACCGAAAAAAAGAATTGAATGTTAGAAAAAACTGGAAAAATGTAAGAAATTAAAAGAAATTGGAAAAAAACTAAAAAAATCAGAAAAAACTGGAAAAAACGGGAAGAAACTGAAAAAAACTTCAAAATTGGAAAACCTAAAAAAACTTTAAAAACATTATTTTAAATTCTTGTTGTTATAAATTATTAGTATTATTATTATTATACAAAAAAAGTATTATTATTTTTTAAATACAAAAAACTATTTTGCAAAAAATAATTATAATATAAAGTTAGAATAAATATAAAAATATTAAATTTAAAAAAGTCTTTGTGGTTATATTGCACCTCAATTTATTTATGAAGTATTTATTATAAATAATATATTTGTAATTATATTTTATATATTATAAGATTTTATTTTAAATATCAGACATGTCACATGATATAATCAAACCTATTTTTTCTTTCACGATTGAAATTTTATCTTCATTGAAGTCTTATTTTTGGAATAAATACATAGAACTTTTTTTTACATTTTTTATGTTTTATTCTTATTTTAGTCTTTTTCTCTAAACTATTTTGACTTACAATTTTTTTATAAAAATTAGAAAAATGAGCAAATTTTAAGTAATAAAGGGAAATGTGAGAGATCTTATATAAAGTTAGATTAATAAAACATTCAACTTCACTATTTTATCCATAATTTTGTTAATATAATTTAACATATTGATGTTTTCTTTTTTATCATGTAGACTAATATACAAAAAAGTTTCTTATTCATATTAAAAAGTTGAAGAAAAAAATAATGAGTGTGAATCGTAAAAATAGTGAGATGAAAAAAATAATTTATAAACTATAGTTATGAACATAACAGTTTTAATAATAATAATAATAATAATCACATTAAAATATATCGTTTTTAGAGTAATTGGTTGAGAAGTAGAAAGAGTTTGAAGAAAATGAGAATAATTGGAAGAAACTGGAAGGAACTGGAAGAAGTCGAAGAACTGGAAGAAACTAGAAGGAACGGGAAGAAACTAGAAGTTAAGAGTTCAAACCCTAAAGAACATGCTCTAAATGAATATATGATAATTTATTTTAGCATAAAAATTATTCCATTATATTTATACTATTGAGAATTTTTATAATTTTATTTTATTATAGTAAAATGTGATACAAATTGAGAGTAATTGATGATTAACTTTAATCCAATTTGCTTTGAAAAACCAAATTAGATGAATAGACTGAAACGAAAAAAGTATATTATTTCCTTCGTCTGAAATTAAAGTTCTCATTTTTCTTTCTTTTCAGGCTTGAATTAATCTTATTTTAATTGTTAACCTACAAACTACTCTAGATGTCTCTCACTCGCTTTTTGTATGTCTCCTTTTCTTTTTCTTTTCTTATTAGTCCATTATTTCTTCTAAATTTTAACAATTCTCCCACCGCTTCTTCTTCTTCTTTCTCTTTCTTTGCCTTCTTTTTCTCCATTCAATCTCATAGTCAATTTTTTTTAAATGAGAAAAAGTCAAACTGGAAGTTCACTTCCGGACAAAGGGAATAATAATTAGAGTGAAAAATACAATAATGTCTATTATTATAAATTTGCAATTGCAAGCACAATAAATGAATTTTACACATGCAACAAGTTCTGTACTTAGAAGGTATAGCTCAAGCCGTTAAAAAGAGATACAACAAGATGTTTGATCAAATTTAAGTATTTAACTCTTAACAAATCACCTCACTTGAGATTAAAGTTTTGCTTACCTTCATATAGTACATGATCTTTACTATGTAACATATAACTGTTTTGACTAAATTTCGATTGTTTAAAAAAATAGCTAGTCGATGAATTACCGGTATCAAAATGAAGTGTCTATTTGATGGTGTTACTATACATAATATTCACGGAACTTCTAGTATATATCAAGCAGCGTTTAGTGAATTACCACATTATTGATTTTTAAGCTCCCAACGAGAGTGCCCCGGTGAGGGCTTGTGAATGCAAGGAAATGTGGACGCAATAAGATCCCTTGTAGTCTTCTTGGGCAAAGGCAACCTCTAAATTCCGGCTATGTTTTGTCGCCATATTCCATCGTTAATTTGGTGTTTTTTAATGTTCATCCATTTCTTACGTGTTGCCCCATAATGTCTTCGTTGTTGTCCCTCATCTTCATTAAGGTCGTCGCTCTCCTGACTGAGCTATTGTGATGATACTCTTGCGAGATCCTTCTACTTATCAATTTATCCCTTTGAAAATATGATTAACCATTCGCAAGCTTATCCCTCTAGTATCACAAATAAGAAGCGAAAATTAATCTTCTCTAGATATGTCATCATAACCGGTTACTCAAAGGGATATGTCATCATAACCGGCAAAAACTATATATAACGGATCAGATACACGAATAAACGGTTACTCAAAGGGATATTTATGCGGAACGGATTATAAACGGATCGGATGCATCATTACCAAATTCGTATTTATTTACCAATCATATATTCTTAATCGGATGTAGATAATAATTGTTCTAAACATATGCCCATATTTTCCCGTGTAAACAAATTTTTGGTTACCAATTTACAATCTTATTTGTGGGCTACTTTGTGTCTCCTGTGTTACTGGGCAATGCACTCACAATCATAGGCCGAGAGGCCCACTCTGAGAGGGTGAAGCCCATATGGGAAAATTGACAATGTTTTAATGCAACTTGAAAATTTTACTCAATAAGGAATACTTACACTGCTCTTAAAAATGTTGTGGGATTACACATATTAAAAATGATTAAAGACTGCTCTTTTTTATAAAAAAAAACAATGGCAAAGGTCTAATTTTGAAGAATAAACTACTCAAATAAGACTAAATATACTCTAGTAAACATATACCAAAATAAGAAATCATACGGAGTACGTTTTTATATAGAATAGGAGTGTTGACATTTTGAGATCGATGTTTGCAGTTTCGCACTGCATGTTAATATTTTACGTTTTTTTAATACTATAACCTTTATCTTGATAAAATCGTTGAAACAAATCATACTTTGACGTAACATATTTTAGTCCATAATCATATACTTCCTCTCTCAGAGTATTTTTCCAGTTTGATCTTTTCGAGTCAAACTGAATGAATTGTGTGTTTCAAATAAATAAAAACTGTAATGTATATATATGTACAAAAAAGATTTTATTAGATTAGATTTATCTTTTTGAGAATTTTCAAAATTTTATTTCACTGTACTAATATGCAAAACAAATGGAGAGCAATTGAAGCTTAAAATTTACTTATAAATATACTGAGAGGGGGCCAATATAACACACCTACTCTTATTTAATTCCTTGCCCAAACAAAAGCAAAGTGGCATGAATTAAAGATGAATTGAAGAAGTTAATAAAATTGGTGGGATGACTAAAACTTATGGAGTCTACATTATATTAATCCGGCCTCCACCCTGTTCTGTGTGCCGAGGAATTAGCACACCTACATGCAGTACCATGTGACACCAAAATGCATGTAGATGCTAGCTAGCTAGCTAGCTACTTGCTCTATATATGCATACAAAAATGTACACAAATCCGACACCACGAACGACAATCATTTGTGAATTTGTACACACAGAATGGATGATAATCGCATGTGAGCTCTTTATTATATTCACGGGCGGATCGGACGCTCCAGCCATGCGTGTTCACAAATTTACAGACGACTATCATACATGGTGTCAATCGTGATTAATTTCAAACATTACTCATATACGATCTGCGTTTCAGTGTATTTGTCAAATTTAACTTTCGGCTTCAGTTGAATAATAATCGCAAGGTATATTTATGTAAAAATGACTTTATTATATTTATTCGGTTGGAACTTCCAAAACATTACCTCATTATAGTAATATATGAAATACAAATAGAAAGTAAATGAAACTTAAAACTTATCTAGTTTGTCTTGAAAAAATCAAATTGAATAAATATATTGGGACATTTATAATATATATACACACAAAGAATATACAATTAGATAGTGGTGTCATTTATATATGCCACTCTCAATTCATTTCAAGGATAAAACGACACATATCAACGGACAAATCAAATGCGGCCGCCAATTAAGAAGCATATTCCTCCCTTTACATCAAATCTAATTCAATACCGTCCCCCTCCTAAAATAATGTTTTTGTTCCAAAAAACATGAGAGATTTAAATTTTCAAAAAAATTTAGGGCACTTTATTTTGATGTTGAGTTTTAAAAAATGTCTTTGAACATTATGAGTAAAAGTAGGATTTGATGTATAGATTAATAGAAAATAAATGTGATGTGATATCACGATAAGTAGATTAAGAATTAACATGCGTAAAAGTAACTTTTTTAATAAAAATAAGAAAAGTGTTTTGGAACGAATAAAAAAAGAGAGAAGAAAAGTTTTTCATTGACGTAAGGAGTATTATATTTTTTATTGGTCAAGTATTTTCCTCTTTCTTTTCTCTGCTTATTTTTGTTAGTTATTTTTCAAAATAACATAATCGATCATGTCACATCTTATTTTATAAATCATTTGATATAATTCTTTATTATATGAAATTTGTATCATTATTTAAATGAATTGAGTTGAACATAAACTCAAACAAGTCTTGTTTTTCCATGCAAGATGATAATTTTAGAAGGAATCGAAGTAAAATAATATCCTTCGTCCTACTGTTTTTGTCCACTTAGCTTTTGGCACACCATCCAATTCACTTTTTAATCCATTTTATCTTGTAATCCATTATATATTAATAATCTACTCCCTCCGTCCCTAAATAAAGTTCCTCTTTCGTTTTTTCTTTGTCCCTAAATAAACTTCCCTTTTCCCTTAAAAACCCCTTTTTCATACCCTACCTATCACATCATACTTTTTTACTAATAATCTACCTATCACATCTTACTTTAATACATCACATCAAGGGTATTTTTGGAAAGTCAACACCAAAATATCCCTCCCTTAAATCCTCAAAAAGTCAAAAATGGAACTTTATTTAGGGACGGAGGGAGTATATATTAAGACAAATCAAACAAGATCACACATGACTATATTTAGACTTACACATTGAGAAAATTTGATGAGTCAAAGTGCTTAGATGAACAGTTCCAAAAGTCAAAAGTGGACAAAAATAGTGGGACGAAGATAGTAGTGAAATTTATATTTTTATGTTCGGTAAGTAATAAAAATAAGTTGAAAAGAACAGTCTCAGGTGATGACGACTAGGCAATAACAGAGTAATGAGAGAAAAATATCGGGGAATTAGTAAATTTAAAAATATTTATGTAAAATAAATGATAGAATAACTCTTAAAAGGAATTGAGAACTGATTAAATATTCTATACCAAGAAATCTCATTGTATGTACCTTCTGCATGTGCGCAGGAAATTGAATCCTACCCATCCTTTCACTGTATATATACATGTACCTATATATACATAATCCCATCAACTGATGATCATGTAAAAAAGAAGAATAAGAAGAAGAAGAAATATATTATTCCATCTTCTCATCTGATCTATATTTGCAGCAGCTCTGCATATTAATTACCATACCAGCCATAATGAAGGTAATCCATTTTCATTTCTTCATTTCACACTAAAAGTGATATATATAGAATTCAAGATTCATTTTTTTTTTATATATATTCTTTAGTTTCTTGACAATATTGTTGATATTCAAGATTAAATTTTGCAATATTAATTCAATTCATTTATCAGATCTTTAATTGGATTCATGGAAAGATTCATGGGAAGCAACCAGTCGTCGTCAACAAACCACATCCAAATAATACCACTCCATGTAATAATTATTCCCATCGTAATTATTTGTTTTTTTTTCAATTTCTTGAAATTGTAATAAAGCTCTGTTTTTTTTTGTTTCTTGATTCTTGATTTGTCGTCGCCGGCCGGCACACAGATACGGCGAAAGAAGAGTTCAGCGACTGGCCGAACAGTCTGCTGGCGATCGGGACGTTTGGGAATAACAAGAATCAGCTCAGAGCTACAGAAGCTTCTTCTCCTGACTGCGGCGGCGGCGATGGAGACCGGCGGCTAACGGGGGAAGAAGTCGGGGAGCTAAAGAAAGAGCTGAAGCTGCTGATGCACAAACACTCGGTGCGGGAAAATGGCGGCTTGGAGAAGTTTTTCGATTGTCTGGACGACATTGAAGAGGAGGGGATCGTGACGTCGCCGGAGGACGAGGATGTCCTGTGCGGCGGCGGTCGGACGGCGGCGAAAACAGAGAGCTCTCTGTCCTCGTCGTCATCTATAATCACCAGAAAGTCGCTGTCTTTCCTATTCAAGAAGGCCATTCTCTGCCGCGGCGGCTTTATCCCGCCTCCGGCGCCGTCTCTGCCGCTTCCGTCGGATCTTTTCCCGGCGGACGGCGCCAGATCGGAGAAGTCAAGAATGGACCGGATTCTGAAGTCGATTCTGAACAAGAAAATATATCCGCAGGGGGCGGCGAATCCGAGGACGTCGACGAAGAAGTACCAGCTGGAGGATAATAATTTATATTTATGTGAGAATTATTCAGAGAGCGAAGATGAAGAAGATGACGAAGATGAAGAAGATGGTGAAGGAGTTGGGAAGGCGGGTGGTGAACAGGGGAGGAGCAAATGGGTGAAAACTGATTCTGACTGTAAGTTCTCATTTTTATTTATTTTTTTTAAAATTTTGAATTTTAAATGTTCATTTTTATTTAATTCCTTTACGAGCAACTGAATACTCATTTTCGAGTTATTGGATACTTTTTTTTGAGTAACTGAATATTCATTTTTTTAAAAATTCAACTATGCTTGAAAATGAGTATTTTTTGTTAATCGAAAATGATTATTCCATTACTAGAAATAGAGTACTTTGTTACTCAAAACTCAGAAATTAAGTGGATGTACAGAAAACATCGTACATTCGGACGCATGGCGTAGGTACCATATTAATTGGATACTCATTTTTGACTAACTGAACACTCAGGTTCTTCCAATTCATTTTATTTAAAATTGGAGTAACACTCTTTTATGTAACCTATAGTAACCTATGATGGATAAAGCTACTTGTACCCCAATTTGTACCCCGCAGTTTTGTACCAACATTTTGTGTTGGTGTAAAACTAATTTTTGTTAACGCACCAACACTTTGTGTCCGTGTAAATTTTTGTTAACGCACCAACATTTGTGTCGGTGTAAACCATCAAAATGTTTGTTTATAACTGCGGTGTACAAATGAGATACATTTTTTTGGTGTAAATGTAGCATGGTCCCGCCTATGATTCATTGGTTGTATTCTCTCCACCCAATAAAATTCCTCACACGTGACATTTTATGATTTTTAATGTTGCACTTTGATCATTAATAATAATAATAATAATAATAATAATAATAATAATAATAATAATAATAATAATAATAATAATAATAATAATGTGATGTCTTTAATTTGCAGTCATTGTTCTGGAGATATGAAATTTTCCTCATTAATTCGGCCACTGCCTTCTGAGATTCTAAGGTAAAAAAGCTCTTCCAATTAATCATACGTTGACATTATCTTAGAGTTAATGACACAATTAGCACAATTCATTCAATCATGTTTTATGCCCTTTTCATTTGTGTGTCACTAATCCTTAACTAATTATTGTCTGTTTTTTTCTTCTTTCAGGAATACTATTTAATATTTAATGTTATGGAGAGTAAACTTTTTTTTCATGTCTCCAGGTGAAAACATGCATGTGTTAAGTAAAGAAGCCGAGAAAAGGATGGCATAATATGACACTGGGTTGATCAAAGGGGCCAGTCAAGTGAACATCAAAGATATGGGTGTTAGATCCATAATTTGACCATATCTCATTTACCAAGTGGTTATATTTTCGTCTCATAGAATTAATCCAAAGAGATTAATCATGTTTCTGGTGTTAAATATCAATAATCTTTCTTACTTTTTTAGTTGATTTATGGTAAAAAGATATCAAAATCATTCGCTTGAAGAGTTTGTGATACATGGAGATTTCCAATTCAAACTTTTTTTTCTATGTTTAACCAAACAGAAAAAATTTGATATTGGGATATATCAGAACCAAAATCTGCTACACTCACTAAAATGACTTTTAGTTTTCAAGTCTAAACCCTTGATTCAATTTATTTTTATAGTTGTATATGCCCATTAAGGACAGTGGTAATGGGGATGACATAATTTGAAGGCGTTAAACACTGCCCCTCCCCCGTTATGGTCCCGTTAAAATTCCTGCGTCAAATGTTTGACATAATTTGAAGGCGTTGGAACACCTTCTCTCCTCTTTTCTCTCTTTTAATTTCTCTTTTCTTCTCAATAAATTAAATTAATTGTTTTTTTTAAATTCAACAAAAATACAAATCTTTCTCTATCTATCATCTTTTTTAAAAAATAATTATTTAATTATTTTATTTATTTTTTCATGAATGTAAATTTTTTATTTAATGAATGTAATTTTTTATAATAAATGTAATTATTTTATTTAATGAAGGTAATTTTTTTTATAATGAAGGTAGTTTTTTAATGAACTATTCTTGTTTCAATTCTTTTAAATAATTCAATAATTAAGTTTTATTAATTTAATTTTAGAAAATGTATATTTAAAATGTAAAAAATGAAGGTTTGGGACCCCGGATTGAAGCCCCGAGGCTCTAAACCCATTTCTAGGGGTGGGCGTGATCCGTGATACTACCGGAACCTATCATGTACTGCTATTATTTAAACACTTCGGTATCGATACAGGATGAACTCCAAAACCATTTCGTACCATTCTGTTTTGAAACGGAACGGTACAATACCATACCCATGCTAAAACTGTGCCAAAAAAATGAACATATTTTACTTAAAGAATATTGAATTTAATGTATAAATTTGTATTAAAAAAAAGCACAAGAATGTTGAATAAAAGTATTGATTTCAAATTTAAACGGATCATAAACATAAAGAATAAAAGATAACGAGTCCAACGTTAAAAATAATTTTTTTTCAAATTCATATAATATCGGAATACTAATAACTATAAAAAATAATGCCAAGAGTAATGATAAATATAATAACGACAATGATAATGAGAGAGTTTAAAAATGAATAATAAAATATAAAGTATTATAGACACGGTAAGATAAAGTAGACAAATACTCCATAATTATCTGAGATACGTACTCTGTATATAGCGTTGGACGGTTCGGTCCTGATAATCGATTTTAAATATTTGCATCACAGTCCCGTCTCATTTGGTATCGATTCAGTTTCGGTTCGTGGTGAAAAGAATCAATCCTATTTGAAAATACTATAAACGGTTCGGTATCATTACGGTCCGGTATGGTACCATGCTAGTTCGGTTTTTTTGCCCACCCCTACCCATTTCCAATGAAACTGTGAGATAAATTAAAATTGATGCGGTAGAGAGAAAAGATTTGAAGCCCAAGGGTTTCACAAGTATTTCTAGTGCTCTAATATAGAGGATGGGCACGGGTCATAATGACATATATGTATTACCACTAAACTAAAACAAAGAAACAAACACGAGTTTTAATAAATAATGTCCTTCCAATGTGTTTGTGTGTGTGTCTTACTCCATGTGCATGCGCCTGTCACTCAGGAGATACGTAAATATCTTTCCCCAAATCCTAATGTTGCATTACTCATAAGTAGCTTGGGCCCTACCTGGCCTCCTCACAATATATACCGTACATTCGGGTGTACGTATAATTAAATACATTCAACAAATATATATTTTAATAAATAGAAAGTTTATTTTGAATGCATATAATTAAATACATTCAAAAAGTTTGTAGAATGAATAAATTCCCAAATGTACAATGTGTACAAAATGAAACAAATTTTTCTTCTACCATCAATTGCCTGAAAAATGTCTCCAAAAGTAATTATTACACTTCTAGTTACACCTCTTCCCATTTATAAGCTCAGCAGTAATATATTTACCTTTTGGCTCAAAAAAATGCTCTAACAGTATTTACAAAAAATCTGATGCTAACTAACTTTTCAAAAAAAAAAAAACTTTTTTAATAGAAATATTGAATCTCACTTTCAGCAATTTGGCATTGTTAAATTTTACTCCGGGGTAATTTATACGGAGTATTTAAATTTACCAAAATTACATATTTGGTCCTTTAGGTATCGTACTCGTTGCATCTTTAGAGCTTGTTATCTTCAACTTATATTTTTTACTTATTGCTTATTCTTGTTGGAATCAGATGAGATTAGAAACAATCTTAAATATTGAATACTTTTTTTGGAGGCAACTCAGCCATAGACCCATATTTCAAGAAGCAAGTTATTAACAACATAGGATAGAAGTGTTGTCTTGCACCCATAATTTGGGACACAAATTGTCTCTCTGGCTGGGTAATGTGTGCAGAATTTACAGACACATCATCTCTATTTTAACCCTACAACATTATTATTGACAGTGGAGAGTTCCCCAAACAAAAACAGAAAACCAAAATCATTTTTTTAGGGTGAAATTGAAAGGAAAAAAAACTTTTCACTTCTGGAAAATACCTTTGATAAACCCCTGTAAGGAGCCCCCCATTCCTGCACCAACTGCTTCTGCCAGGTATTTTGTCTGCAAAAATTGAACAGACATTTCTTAAATCCAACTTCGAAAACAACCCATCCGTCCCAAAATTCAGTTGCTCACTATGATTTCACGGAGATTAAGAAAAGTGTTGAATAGTGAAATTAGGTTTTTTTAAAAAGAGATTAGTATTTTGGATCACACATTCTTTTCTAAAAAGAGAGAAACAAATGAGTCGGATAAAAAAGAAGAGGGAAAACTTTTTTGGGATGAAGGGAATAGAATGAATATGGGCAATGCTAGGGAAACTCCACGTTTGACAGTTGACACCAAAGGCAAACATAGACACTCTCACACTCCACGTTTGACGGTTAGTGTCTATGTTTGCCTTTGGTGTCAAAATGTGGGATTCCCCACGATCCTTCCAACTAAAATAGATCACACAGAAAAGGAGGGGAAAAAGAAGAAGAAAAGATACCTCTTGTGCAGTTTTTTTAAGATCAAAAGCATCTTTAATCCGAGCATTCAAGAAGGCCCAGGTATCGTGGAAATCTGTAATGGGGAGACCAAGAAGGTAATGTTTGAGCAATTCCAAAACTAACATATTGCAAGGAGTGATCTGAAAAAGGTTCCTACACCTCCCGGACGCATGATATGTCAAATGTTAATTGTTAATTATGAAACGTCTTCCAGGTTGAATTGCACTTCCTGCTAAGGTGGCACCTAATATTCGGGGCACTATCCCAAGTGTGCCAAATTCTTTCACACATGCACAAACATGAGCTCAAACCTGAGAGCATGTTGTGAGCTCGTGTTTGTATGTATGAAATGAAAGAAAAAAGTGGGAGAGCAAGGTTGGGGAGACAACGTAGCACAACTCCTAACCCCTAAGATCAAATTATCAAAACGATGATTTTGCAATGTACAGTGTATTATATGACAATACCTCTGTTAAATCTTATATCATGTTTAGATGAAAAGTGTGTTTGACGATTTAATATCTTTTGACTAAGATCATACACAAGCCCCACTTGTGAGATCTTGCCTGATTATCTGCCCATATTGTTGTATACTCCCCTTCCTAATTATCTGCACATATTGACCAAATCACACAACTTCAAAAGAAATGTATTGGTAGTGGCATAGCCAGCATCTATTACTGTAAGTTGTGCCATATCAAAGAGTGAAAATTATAAATTCACATAACTTTTAATATGAAAAAATTTAACAAAGCAACACATGCATTGAAAAAACAGTGTATATTATTCACAATGTATGAAGTAACTTTTTTGTTTTTTTTCAAAAGTTTTTACATAATGTTGCACCGTAGGTAATAAAAATTTTACATGAAAAGGATTATTTGGACGAGATTTTGGTTGCATAGAGCTCACATAAACATTTACATGAAACGGAAAATTTACTACATGTCCTTGTGTATTCATCCAATTTGATATTCTTTAGACAAACAGGACTAACTTTGATCATCCGTTACATATTAATACAATAACATACTCCGTAATATTTTTAGTCTTTTGTAAGAAGAATATAATGAAATCATTTTTGTATTGATATGCAATGCAATTATCTTTTAATAGACGATCAAAGTTCATTCAATTTGATAGAGAAAAGCCAAGCTAGACAAATACGCAGGCAGGAGTATGTTTTAATCCTCATCTAAGCTATGTATGTGATCTAGTGCCTTTCATAACAGGCCGCAGGTGTGTATCACATGCAGATGTATCAGAAGTTGTACCCTACTTATTAGTAAAGTTGAGACACCATGCTTGAATCCCTAAACCTAAACAAAAAAAATAGTAGGAAAGGAAAAATAGCTGCAGGAAATAGCTTTTTTCAATGCTTAGCTGTACTTTTGAAAATACAAAAGAAAATCGGATGTGGTTAGAAGTTAGAACTGTTTAAAATTTTACAGTTTAGTATTTGTATAGTTGAAATGTATATAAGAAATGAGTTTAAAAAAATATCTAAATATGAATTGTTGAGTTTGAGGACTAATTTGTTTTTTCCCCCATTTTTTATGTCCTCCCATAAGTCCCATTTCCTCTATCTTTATCACTATATTTCCTTTTAAGAATATTGAGTAGTGTTGGGGGCACAACACTTGAAGCGTCGCTTGCACCTAGAGTGTCACTCATCCCGGGGAAAGTTGGAACACAAAGAGCGCTATAAATAAATGTTTTAATAAGGAGAATTTGGAAGAAAAGAAAATGTGGGAGGAAGAAAAAATTCAACCTTCGTAAAAATAATTTATCTGTTTTAACTCTTTTTATTTATCTACTTCTATTATAAAAAGACTAATAAATCTAGATTTATGTAAAGAAAACATTAAAAACACTAACTATATTTTCTATTCCTTTTTATATTCCTTTTTCCCTGGGTAAAACAAAAAAAAACTACACATAACGGGAGTATTTTCAAAAAATGGTCTAAAAGCAATTAGTGAAGAAAATAAGCAGGTAGCAAAGAAAACGCTCCCAACATATTCCCCTTTTCTCCAAGATCCAAACATTGTCATTCAATCTAGGCAATGCTTTTTGTTTTTACACAAAAATGAAATAAACAAACCTGGAGAGTAATCGGTTAGCATGTATAGCTCAGTAGTAGAGTATATTCCACCAAGCACGGTTCGCTTCACATACCAATCAATATTGCCTGCATCATCACCAGCCGCACGCCAGATTTCATCAACCAACATTGCTCTCTGCTTGAAACTTGTTGGTATGTTCAGTGGATGTGCCTATAAAACAAGCTGCTATTATTAGATACCTTCATTTAGTTTTCTTATAAATATTTGGAACCTCATAACACAAACAAATATAGAAGAAGAACAAACCTGTATACTGAGTGCTTGAGCCCATTTTGATATGTAAGGAGACTGCAACTCTAAGCGGAGTCTTACAATTGTCGCAACACACTCACTTGGTATCATCGTTTTCAAATCCGTTCTCAATTCAATAATATCAATGAGTCTATCCAAGCACTCATCCATAAAAAACTGAAGAAAAAGACTTAAATGGGTTAGAAGCAAAGGGAATCATCATTATCAGCACCTTATTCTGGAAAAAGGCACAATCACACAGAGAAACATCGAGTGGAAAAAGAATTTGATTAACCTCCACAAGAGCAGCTTCTTTCCTATGAAAAGATCCAAGGACTGAAGGAGACAATCCAGCCTCCCTTGCACCAGCAATCATGGCTGCTTCAGTCCATCCCAATTTCAGCTGCATTTAAAGATAATTCAAAAAGTCGAATCAATCCAGCATCCAGTGAATAAAAAACATGATGATCATCCACACATTGTGATCCTTTCAATGGATTTTCATGGACTACAAGCCTAAAAACGCCCAAAAATCAACATCTCTGTTATACTTAAGATCTGTGGTTACATTTTGAGGCAATACTCCGCATTAAACAAACGGAACAGATAATCGCAGATATATGCGTACCACGTGAGGGAGAGAGGCGCTCAGAACACGGGCTTGTTCGTCCTGGTACTGAGCCCTATGCCTGGTTTTAGTCGCTCCCGGATCCGGATTCTCCTCCTTCTCGTAGATGCGATCTTTCGCCTCTCCGCTCCGCCCTGATGTCGGAGGAGACGATGATCCGGAGTCAGAAAATGCAGAGTTTGGATTCGGTATGGCCTCAGATGCAATACAGTTGAAGAAACGCGGCGTTCGGACCCGTGAGAGAGTTGGAAGGGAGGAAGAGATTCTTGGCTGGTTGCTGCAGCGGAGCAACGCCGGGAACAACCGCTTAGCCGCCACTCGGAGCATTTTCTGTGGTCGAAGTCGTTTCTGGTAGACAGGACAACTATGCAGGATGCACAAAACAATTGTTAAAAATTAAAATTACGGAGTAATTCACAACTATTCAATTTATTTTTAAAAAATTATTATTTATTCTTATTAAAATGAGATAAGATTAAAGACAAATTTAAATATAACTAATTAAATTAAATCAGTCAAAATCTATAAAAGAATTAGATTAGGCAAAATATGTCCCAATTAGGATTATTAAAATCGAAATAAAATGTAAACGTGCGAGAAGTTGCGCCACTATCCCTTTTTAAATAGCAAAACCAATTCTTTTGAAAATTACATCCATAAATTTAAGGGTCATAACATAACTATTATGGACCCGTTGGATTCGATTTAGCAGTTCCACAGCCTCAGGCACAAGCAAACCAAAGGTATCAAATTTGATGTAATTTAAGTATCTTGTATTTCTTATTTTTATACTAACTCATACATCTTCCCAAACTCGAATCCCCGTACCATCCTCCCACTTTTTACCCCTTTTGATCAAAATAATATGAAGTGTTTTTTCTCAACTTTGTGCAAATAATCCAATCTTTTCAAGTAGAATGGCTGACGTTAATCCAAAGAATAGACCTAGGGGTACACTCGGCAAACACGGACAAACAGAGACACTTAGTGTTTGTGAATCACAAACGTTAAGTGTCTGTGTTTGTCTATGTTTGCCTGATATACAAATGAGATATCTCATTTTGGTGTACTCCTCGCAATTGCCCCTAGTCCAAAACACAAAAATTAGTAGCACCCTATTTTATGCCAATATGGATAACAATTCTACCTGTTTAAGTAATGCATTTCAAATGCATAAAAGAGAATGAAGCCTTTGAACTTGTGTTTGTTAGTGATAAAAAAGAAGAAGAAGCTATACATTAAAGTACATCAATGTCCAAAATAAAATAAAAAAACACACAAAAAAAGAAAGAAATGAAAATGGGAAAGCTTTTCTGAATCCTCCTCTAGCTGCCTGCAGCTTCTTCTAAAATTAAAAAAAAAAAAAACTGCTACTGTGATAATCTAAATTTACAGTCTTCAATACAGTTCTCACACTTTGACATCTTCTATTCTCCTGATGGCCTCTTTCATATCCAGCCGTTTGATGAGGTCCGTCTCCGTGCAGGCGCATCCGATATGCAGAAGCCTCTCCATGAGAGGCATGGAGTCTCCGGTGGCTGCCCCGACGATCTCCGGGTCGATCACCTCCGCCTCCCTCCTCTCCGCCACCGCCTGCCTCACCCACTCCACCACGTCGGTGCCGCCTTTCTGGTTGTTGAGGTACTGGGAGGGGAACTTCCCCGTCATGACCTCGAGCACGACGACCCCGAGGCAGTACACGTCGCTCTTGGGGGAGATCTGGCGGTGCAGGATCCCCTCCGGCGTCCTGAAGGCGAACATCGACTGCGCCGTCGACGTGTTGTTCACCAGCGGGTAGTACGCGTAGTCGTTCAGGAGGGGGTCGTTGCCCGACGTCAGAAGGATGTTGCTGGACTTGAGGTTGCCGTGCGGGACGTCGTACGACGCAAATTCATTGTGCAGGAAGGCCATCCCGCTCGCTACTCCTCGTATGATTCTTAGCCGCGTTGGCCAGTTTAGCTCCGCGTGTGATATCCCCCGATCACCTGCAGTAATTTTTTTGGCCAGTTTACCTCAAAGTCAACACGATTTGGGTGGTACAATTGGAGTGGCCGAGCTGAATAAGAGTAAAATATAGAGAAAGTACCAAAATAGGAACTCCTTCCTTGTTTTTATTCCTTACATAGAGAACATGTCACTGTATAAGAACATTTCACAGTGCCCTTTTGGAGTATTATAACTCTTATTTTGAAAATAAAAAATGAAATTCCTATTTTGATATATTTTCAATGTTTTCATTCTATAGTCTTTTCAAAGAAACAACAATTAATAAATCCCATTGTAATTAGATGCACATACCATGCAACATGTAGAGCAGGCTTCCTTTGGGAATGTATTCAGATATGAAGAGCTTCTCCTCTTTCCTGTAATGGTAAGCTAAAGGCGTCAAGATGTTAGGGTGCTTTATGCTTCCCAGCCGTCTCATCTCTGCGTCGAAGTTATCTCTGCTGATTTTATTGATCTCTCTCAGCCTCTTCACTACCACCGAAACGCCGTTCACCATCACTGCCTTGTAGGCGGACCCCATCCCGCCGTTCCCGAGCACCTCCGCAGCCGCCTTCATCAGGTCGGGCAGCCCGAACACGCCCTTGTCATGGTTCACGATTACCAAGTCCCCCATTGACCTCCCGCTTTGCGACCCGCCTCTTTTCGAGCCGCCGTGGGAGGATTCGCTTCTCGACCCCTTCCTGATCGAACCGCTCATCGTGGTCCTCCGGTTCGTGCTGGCAATATGAACCGGCACGACCTCGTCGAGATTCTCCTTCTCGAGCCTACCGAAGCTGTCCTCCTTGTTCTTCCTCTGGAACAGAATGGAGACAGTCAGGAAGGCGACCACCAAGGACAGAACTACCCATTTTGTCCCTGGTGACGAAGTAGGCGTGTTTGGTTCATCAGGAGGAGGAGGAGGAGGAGGCAATTTGGGAGCACCGTGGTTTGCCGCCTCAGAACTGCTGTTGGTGCCCGTGGTTTTTGGGCAGTTTTTCCCGAGTAATTTCCCGCACAACTCGAGATTCCCTTCAAAGGGCTTTCGCCCGAACCTTTCCATCTCAGGCGGGATTTCTCCCTCAAGCTTGTTCTTCGACATGTCGAGGGTGGTGAGAGATTTCTGAGCCATGGATGGAATGCGGCCCGAGAATTCATTCTCTTCAAGGTGGAGTTCGATCAAGTTGGGCAACCTTCCAAAGGAATCGGGAATTTCCCCCGAAAACCCGTTGTTCGAAAGCCATACCTTCTTGAGGGAGGTCATTTTGGAAAAGAAATCCGGAGGAATCTCACCCGAGAACTTGTTCTCATGTATGAAGATGGACCTCAAAGCTCCAAGCTTGTTGAAACCGGGGATCGAGCCCGAGAAGCTGTTGTTCGCCATAGCCATCATCCTGAGGCCTTTCAGGCTAGACAACACCTCGACCTTGATCTCGCCCGACAGGCCGAGCCCATTGAGGCGAAGGCCCGTGATGGTCACGTTGTGGCATTGGATGCCGAACCATTGGCGGTTCTTTTCACAAGGGTGCGTCCCGGCTTTCCACGAGTTGTCAAGAATTCTTGTGTTCCCCATTGAATCCTTGAGCTGCAACAAGGCTTCATCATCTTCCAAGGCGAAAAACAAAGACGGGAAGGAAAAAATTACAATAACAAAGAAGAAGAAGACAACGAAGAAGGAATGTGCATAATCTGCCATGACGAGGTTAGTTTTCGAAAGGAAAAGAAAAGAAAATCGTAAGACAACCAACCCGTGGAAGGAAAAGCAGAGAGCTGCCGTTCCTAGGGATTGGTAGTCTCTGATGAATCCTTATTTCTTGGGGTGGCGCTTGTTTTTTATTTGAATCATAGAATTTGTATGAAAATATGCTTAGAAAAAAAACTCTCTATTTCTCTCTCTTAGAATATAATAAGGCAAGATTCAACTTTTTTTTGGATAGAAAAGAGAGGTGATGCGCCTTCCAAGGAGAGAGGCCTTTTCTTTGGGTTCACACTTCATATGATTTTTTTTTATAAACAATAATGGGGGTGATTATAATGAGATGTTAATACAGATAATAATAATTTCATGATTTCTAATTTAAATCCGAATGAGAAAAAAAACAATGCCAATCATATAAAGATTAAATCAAATAAAAAATCAAATGAATATAGAAATTTTATATATCCCATAAACAACAACGATACGGTTCTCTTGACCTTAGGTTCTTGGGTCATATTATGACTTGAGGCCATCGACTCTAGGGCGTACCGCTACATTTCTCTACCATTTGATTTCCGTGCTGCTCGCCACTCCCCGAGGCCAAGGACGTGGTCGAACCGTTATTCCAGGATTTGCAGTCCGATACATTTCCATTATGTTACCTAGCCAAACCCGCCACCTCATGTGCCAAAGTAAAACGGTAAAACGGCTACGGTGCTCCATTCGTAAACCCTACCCCCTTGCCCCTTACCTGCCCACCCCCACCCCAGTACCCCCCTGTCCCCCTCCCCCATTCGCCAATTGGCTACAATGTCAAAAGATCCCAGCCAAAACAACAATTATATAATCATGCTCTACCAGCATTAAATTTAGGAAAATATAATGCCAAATATTTATTTTACATAAAGCGAACTCATTGAGACAATACGTCGAACACTTTGAAGTCATTCGACTGGTTACACATATGTTCATCATTGTCTACAAAAATGACAAAGCTTTGAACTTTATAAACATATCTCATTCACACAATTTATCAAACACCTTACAGGCATAAAAATTTTGCACACTAAACAAGCTAGATAACGTAAGCAGAGCATTATAAGAAGATGAATATTCAAATCTATACAAAACAGCCAGTTTTAGAAAGAAAAATAGTAATCACATACCAGCATCAATTATTATCACTTAGTCCGGTAATATCAATGTATAAAATGAAAACAACTCATTGTTTAAATCGAATCTGAAAATGAAAGAAAAAGGCTTACTGGGCGGCGCTGCTGTGTTGAGAGACAGAGGTGAGGCTACAGAGACGGCGGTGATCGTACAGCAGTGTCGACGCTCGGGCGGAGGCGAGTCACAGTTTTTTTTGTCAAACTAACAAATTAAATACGAAATATAATTTAAAATAATTAAATATTATAAAAATTTGATATTTTAAAAGTATATTTCAAAAGTATATTGTTGGTGCGTATTCTTCATTTTATTGAGGGCTTTGGGAATTGGGAGTGGTTTGATTCACCCCCTAAGTTTATTATCACGTCTCTTTAAGATTTTTTTTATTCAAAAATTATTTTTTCATTAAATGATATGAGTTATGATATTTGATTCACATTATTTTCAAATCATTTCGTATGAAAAATGATGATGATTTATAAAATAAAAATCAAATTTTTAAAAATTTACATCAAAAGATCTACAAAATTAGAGGTAACATGATTATATTATTTTATCAAATAAATAGCAAAAATATGTAAAATAAAATTTAATCGTGTGAACAGAATCAATAATTTTTGGATGGATGGAGTATTTTGATTTCAAAATAAAGATTCTATATATAAAAAATATAGAGTTCAAGATTATACTTATAAATACTGATGCAGGTTATGATCAACTCATGGAAATATCAATTTTGGAATGATTCTTTATTCATCAACTGAGAGGTTTTTGGGTGCGGTGAATGGTCCTCTGCCACGATGCATGCGTGCTTAAATGGCGAAAGCTTTGACAACCAAAGAAACTAATGTGTGGCTTAACGATTGCGGTCATTCGTGTGTTCACGTGCTATCACATTGTATCTTTCTATGTTAAAAGATCAAAGATTATTCTTGAAATAAAGATCTTACATTCTCGTTGTTATTTCAGTGTAAAGACGTTATGCAATTATCTTCTCAATGATCTTTTCACTTTATTCCACGCTCATTTAATTTTTTTGTTTCTTCAAACTTCATCTTATTTCAAGTTGAGTAATATATATTTGCTTTCATTTAAAAAAAGAATGGTTGCATAATTTCATTTAAAAATGTCATTAATAGTCCTAATTCATTTTAGATAGATTGTGATACTCTATTTTAATCATGAGGAAGGATTATCAATCAACAACCTTTGAGAATCGGACATTTTAACACCTTTCATAATAATAAAATATGTAATACTTCCTTCGTCCACAAATAAATTTTCCGTTCACTATTCACATGATTAAACTTTATTCACTTTGTTGGTCTATTTTTATTACTCATTTGATAAAATAATATAGTAATGTCACTTCTAGTTTTGTAGATCTTTTGATATAGTTTTTATTTTAAAATTTCACACCATTTTTAATATAAAATGATTTAAAAATAATTTCAGTCAAACATCGTAACGCACAATGAGAAATTTATTTGTGAGCAGAAGGAGTAATTTTTAAAAATATTTTAGAAAAGAAATTTAATTAAATTATTTTGTTTTACTCAAAATCTCATGCCTTTGAATGGACTCTTCTTCTTCTTCCTAGCCCTCCGCAACTGTTTTCCTGAGTTCTGAGCAACAACTTGCTGCTTCTTCCCTGTTCCGCTACCTCCCCTTTCTCTTTTCATTGATCTTCTTCGATTAGAGTCCATACACCTTTTTTCAACTCGATCATCAGTATAGCTAATCCATGTGCTCAAAGATAAAAGCTTTGTTCTGAGCACCACCGCCGAGCTGACATCCCTGAAGAGATCGTTTCTCCGATGGTGGAGACGCTAACGGCGCCGTGTACTTCGCGGTGGCGCCGCTGGATCCCTTCCTTCTTATCCACCCACAAGACCCTTCTCGCCCTTCTCTGGATCGGCTTCTGCCTCACTGTGTTTTTATGGAGGTGGGACTCAGCCGATACAATCTTGCTTTTCCGGCGGGCCTTCCCGGTGAGGCAACTGCCCAGGCTCCGTCCTGTGGCGTTCAATTTGACGGACTTCGGAGGGATCGGGGATGGGGTCACGATCAATACGGCGGCGTTTGAAAGGGCTGTTCTGGCGATCTCTAAGCTCGGTAAGAAGGGTGGAGGGCAGCTTAATGTTCCTCCTGGGCTTTGGCTTTCAGCTCCGTTTAATCTCACCAGTCATATGACCCTCTTCCTAGCTGAGGGCGCTGTTATACTTGGCATTGATGTGAGTTTCCATTTATTCATTGATTTGAGAGTTAAGGACTGATCTACTGCATTTCAAGTCCCACTTGAGCAATTTCAAGTCACTAAAGTTCGAAATCTATATCTTCTTATTGGCCTAAAACCTTTGTGTAGGCCTAATTGGTTGACAATGGAGTGTAGTGGTGGAATTTGGGTTGTTTTGATACAATAGCTGAATTTAGATCTTTAACTTTCTTTAGACTTTTTATCTGTGAATTAGCTGCCGGGTTCCGTTTCTAGTTGTTTAGGCTGTTATAATCATGATATTCTGGCTGTGATGTATGCCTCTTGATAGCTTCAATGAAATGAATTAGAATGGCACTCATGCTGCAACTATAAGCAGGAAAATGTATTTCCAGTTAGCATCCATGTGGTGAAGACATAGGAAAATAGGTGTAAGAAGATTTCTAGTTATGCCCTGGTACATAATTATGGATCAGTAGCTGTCAATACTATCTATTCTGTCAACTAGATGCCTTATAATGTCTGGTGGCACTTTGGGAATTGATAAATTGAGAATATCGTGTCGTACCTCATGAGTGAAGGGAGAGCTTGTTTCAACAGAATGGTAAAAACTTCTAAGGTCTTTGCGTAAAGAAGTTCTTCTATTTCATACTTTCTTCTTTTACCTTTTCTTTCCACTCTATCTTACACTAGTTTCTCTCGGCTACTGTCCATTTGGTATTTAGATCTATACTGGAAGTGTTGTCTTGAATTGCATGGTAGACAAAATCTATGGATCTAGAGTATGAGATGAAGCATCCAAGATTTCTGTTCGATCATCTTTAATGGATCTCTATGTTCGAGGTCATTTAGGAAATGAACTATTAAGCTCTCTTTACTATTATATCCAAAAGATTCGAATATGAATCCAAAATCAGTGTAGGAGCATGTGGTGGGAAACAAGCTAATCAAGTAATCATCAAGCCATCAAGTAACAATTGAAAATATCTTTATACCTTATATGTGCATGGTTGACTGCAAATGTTACCTTAATAGAAGGATGAGGTTTGATTTGACTGAAATATTTATTTCAAAACATGGAATATATGATACTCAAAGATGTTGCAAATAAATGAGTAACTCCCTCCATCTGATAGTAAGGTTCCCATAAACGTGATCACATTAATTATGTAATAATGTGTGGTTAAGATTTACTTAGAGAAGTTAAAAAATACGTAGTGTGAAATAATATCACTCAAACAATCATTTCGTGAGAAGGAATGAGAACATTATAGCGGGTCATCCGAACATCCAAATAAGGTAAAGTGGGAACCTTCCGGACGGAAGGGGTAATCAACAGAATAACCTCCATTCAATTGTTTTTCAATGAACGTATAGCTAAATTCGATGATTATAATACCATCATAGCAGCGTTAAATGCTATATTCTTTTCATGTTTCAATTAATCTTTGCAATAGTGCATGCGATATCCGTGTCCCCGTGCATTTGGAGTTGACAGCTTTTCAGATGACTGAGCATCAATATAATTGCACTGAACAGGATGAGAAGTATTGGCCTCTCTTGCCTCCTTTGCCTTCTTATGGATATGGTAGAGAGCATCGTGGGCCACGCTATGGTAGTTTAATTCATGGTCAAAATCTCAAAGATGTTGTTATAACAGGTCAGGTTTTGTTTCTATCCTTTTATGACTTTTTTTGTTCACTTTCTTGAACATGCATTTTTAGAATTCTCTCTTTTTATGCATGGGAGATTACATTGTGGGCTGTGTGTGTTTAATATAAGTGTATTTATTGTGATCATGAAGACACATTTGACCAATTAGTTCTACTAGCTGCTAGGGAGGCTAATCCTTAAATTTATAGTAGTTGGTTCTTAATTTGCTGACCTCTTACTCTCTTAGAAGTACCACATAACATGACACTGTTTCTTAACTTTTGATTTTTTATTTTAGTTTTCCTTTAATTTGGAGATGATCACAATATCACATGTAATATGCCGTGTGCCTAAATATTATCCAACTTGCTCACACCCCATGAAAGTCCTGAATGTCACTATTGAATAATTTATGATGATCACTCCAAACACATACACACACATTACAATTTTTTTCTTTCTTTCTTTTAGCTGATAAAAAATACCAGTTCTCTATAATTTACTTGGTTGGATTGCTTCATAAATATACCACATCTTAGATCAAAGGTTGCAATTATTATTTAATTCTAAACACAAGAGGTTATAACAAGTCAGTAAAATATACATATACGTCTGTCCCACAAAAAACTTCCTACTTTCCCTTTTTGGATGGAAACATACAACAATAACAACATTATCCCAGTGCCTCAAGGACTCCCGTCCAATGCGGGGTAGGAGAGTTGGATGTACGCAGCCTGACCTTTATGTTTAAAACATAGACGACTGTTTCCGGATGACCCATGATGAGACGGGAGTTGCATTGACTAACTGATATTTCACTATAAAAGAAGCACACGTAGTTTAAAGAACCATTTTGCTTTATTCCATTTTACCTAACAAAATTTCTATCGTCCAAACAAATTCAAACCACATACGGAGCGTTTTTTCACGTTTTATCACTTTTCTTAAACTTTTGAACGTCAAACAAGGAATTTTTTCACGGGATGGAGGTAGTAATTTATTTTCCCTCGGTCCAAACACAAGGATTAATAATATGAAAGAAAAATAAATATTACTCTACCTCAATCCAAACACAAGAAATAAGTAGAACGTTTTCCCCTGTAGTAGTAGTAGTAGTAGTTGTCGTGTATTTTTTTCTTCTCCTAACTCTGCCATGGGTGACTTATGTTGCTCATTGCCGGTCCCAAGCCCGGATAAAGGAGGAGGGTTGTGGTAGTTTGATGGCCAGCATAAAACCCCATTACATCTATCCAATTGGGATGACATTGTTCGATTTCCCATTGGTTATCGTAGCCGATTTTATTGAGCTGGCACTTACATTTTTCTTCTCATATGGAAAATTTCCAAACATGGTGTAAACTAAGGGCAGGGAAATTTATGTTGCTTCACTCTTGGTTACAATCCTTAAAGAATAAATCAGTATAATGTGTGGTTATAACAGGTCACAATGGCACCATCAATGGGCAGGGCCAAACATGGTGGAAGAAGTATAGGCAGAAGCTCCTTAACCACACCAGGGGACCCCTTGTACAGATAATGTGGTCTAGTGATATTCTGCTCTATAACGTAACACTGCGCGATTCTCCCTTTTGGACCTTCCATCCATATGATTGCAAGAATGTTACCGTTAGAGACGTGACCATTCTTGCACCTACTACAGAAGCTCCAAATACTGATGGCATTGATCCTGGTGAAGTGTTTAATTTACCCATCACAGCACTCTTTTGCCAACTTTATATGTATTTAGAAATACTCCATCTGTCCCAAAAAAAACTTCACATTTTCCCTTTTTCCTATTAAAGAATGAAACACGTTGCTGACAAGTTCTCTTTCTTCGTTCATAGAACTTTTTACTCTGTGAGGTAAAGTCATGAAGTTTATTTTGAGATGGGATGAAAGGAGTGCATATTTTTTTATACGGAGTTACTGAACTGATTATTAATGACAATGAATAGATTCATGTGAAGATATGCTGATTGAGAACTGTTACATAAGTGTTGGTGATGATGGCATTGCAATCAAGAGTGGTTGGGATCAATACGGGATTGCCTATGCACGACCTTCAAGAAACATACTCATACGAAATGTGGTTGTTCGTTCCATGGTCAGGTAAACCTTTACTTTTTTTTCACTCACACAACAACAAGCAACCGAGTAAAATCCCACAAAAGTAGAGTCTGGGGGGTAAGTTTTCGCCTTACCCCTACTTGGAAGTAGATAGGTTGTTTCCTCTAGCTGAAAGTTTCTTAACATCATTGACAGCGCTGGAGTATCAATAGGAAGCGAGATGTCTGGTGGGGTGTCGAACATTACAGTTGAGAACCTCCACGTGTGGAGCTCAAGACGCGCAGTCCGAATCAAGACAGCCCCCGGCAGAGGAGGGTACGTCAAGGGCATAACATATCAAAATCTGACATTTGAAGATGTCCGCGTTGGGATAGTCATAAAGACAGATTACAACGAGCACCCGGATGATAAATTTGACCCTAAAGCCCTCCCTGTGCTACAGGACATAAGCTACACGTCAGTCCACGGGGAGGGGGTGCGGGTCCCAGTCCGTCTCCAGGGGAGCGAAGAAATCCCCATTTGGAACGTCACCTTCCGGGACATGTCTGTCGGGGTAGCGTACAAGAAGACGAATCACGTTTTCCAATGCAGTTTCGTTCAAGGACGTGTTATAGGTACCGTTCACCCTCCACCTTGCGTGAACCTTGACTTGTATGACGAGCAAGGACGATTGATCTGGGCATCGGATGCCCAAAATGTTTCGGACATTGATTATAGCATCTGAGAATCTGAGATTTCACAATCAATTTCATCATATATATATATATATCAATGTAAACGTGCCCTTTCTCATTCTTTGTATGTACAGTTAATGTATCCAAAACACAAATCAATAGCTTCTACAACAATATCAAACCCAGTAATATCCCACAAACAATAGGATTTAGGGAATGTGCCTATACCTACAAAATGTGTAGGCTTTACTTTTTCTCGAAAGTAGAAATGTTGTTTCTAGGATACTATGGCTCAAACATAGAAATACATATAAAGTAAGCATAATAGCATAGATAAAGTAAGAGGAGAGAGACAAGAAGCACACTTACCGGTTGTGCTACTTGCAAACCACTAGTATACCCCACTTTGTATATCAATGTTTTGCACTGTCAAAACATTGATACATGCTAGCACGAAATGTCAGTGTAAACATTATCTATCAATCACACTAGCATTCTCTGCTAGTGCAAAGAACTCTTGTACAAAATGGAGTATACATAATGGGGTAACACTAGTATTATTCTACTAACACTGACAATTAGACACAAAACACAAAAAGCGCGCGCACACACAAGCTATAGACAAAGGTTAAAATACACCATTATAAACTACAAACTAAGGGTTTATAGATTCACCAAACTGTAATAATCATCATGGGCGGATCCATATCTTAATAATTGGGGGCAGTGGCCCCCTACTAATTTTAAGTTTTTGTTTATCATGTGTATTGTGATACTTTAATTTTTTAATTTTTTTTAGAGTTATGTAATATATGACCCCAACTAAAAATATTAGAGACCCTAATAAAAAGTATTAGAGTCCTCAATTAATAGTATTAAATTAATAGTATTAAGTGAGAAAAAAAATGAGAGAAGTCAAATATTTAGATATTAAAAAATAATAATTTTAAAGTGAAATATTTTAAAATGCAAAGATAAATTCCAAAGTACTCCCTCCGTCCCGTTTTAAATCGTCTGTTTTGACTTTTGGAAATATTTAAGGAAGAGAAAAAATAGAGTTGATTTTCCGAAATTGTCATTATTTTTTAGGAGGGGTGACGATGAATGGGAAGATAAGGTGGAGAAGAATGACTTATTTTAGGGGTAGTTTAGGTATTTTACTCTTAAAAGTTTACGATAACAAATACGGAGTACTCCGTAACAGACAACTTATTTTGGGACGGAGAAAAAAGGCAAACATGCAATTTAAAATGTGACAGAGGGACTGTACACTAAAAATATACGGAGTGATAATTAAACTAATTTATAATATTGGCATTAAAAAAATTAATTTTTTATTTTTTTACTATTTGAATAACTATTTAAGGGTAAATTCATTTTTTTTAAAGTTTCGCATAGCATGTATAAAAAAAATTTGGAAAGCTGTCTAAGAACACTCGAAAGGTGACCCCTACTATTTTATATCCTGGATCGGCCAGTGATAATCATAGATTTTTAGATGTTGTTATCTAAGATAATATCATGTATAGAAATTTTTAATCATGACTAGTAATCTCCTACTAACCCTTTTTAGATATGTGTCTACCCCTCCTACGCCCCTACCCAATGTCGTTTATGAAATGCAAAATAAATAGAAATATTTGCAGGAAATAGCATTAAAACTTAAGCCATTTCTCTAAATAGCACTTAAATTGTTTATTCCTTAAATAACACTTAATAATGTTCATAATGACCAGTGATGACAAACATTTACTTGAATAATGACTAATGAATAATGATTAAAAGTGCTACATTGAGAAAAAAACATATGTAGTGCTATTTAGGAAAAGTCATTATGTTTTAGTGCTATTTACATAAATTCCTCAAATAAATAAATAAAAATAAAAAAAAAAGCTTATTTATTTTTTTGAGCACTGAAAAATGCTTATAAGTCATTTAAAATGATGCTTATTTATTTATTTTGGCACTTTGGCAGTTGGCAAGTTCACTACTTTTAGAAAATCTTGCATCGCAATATGAACTATTGTAAATGGAGGGAGGGTTGCTTTGGCACAATAAAATATGTATACTTTGACAAACACTTTAAAAAAGATTTAGAGTATAATTTTAAAAAGATATGCATTTTAAAATGGAGGGAGGGTTGCTTTCGCATAATTTTTTCGGAGTATATAATTGAAATTAAAAATGTATGGTTGAAAATGAAATAGATGAGAGAAAAATATTGTGAGCTACTCAAAAAATTTTTATAAAACAAAAGTAAATTTTTTTAAGGATGTTCCAAAAAATTATTTTTCTCAGATGGGGTAGAATTTAACTATCCAAATACTCTCTCCGTCCTAAAATTACCTTTTCAGTTTGACTTTTGTAGTCAAATATTTTAAACTTTGACCGTATATTACGGAAACAATACATTGGATTTTCATATAAATTTATTAGTAATAGATTCATTTTGAAACATAATTTTGAAATATATAATTTTTATAAAATATATTTCTATAAAAATTGAGATAATGATGGTCAAAGTATCGTATTGGAGATCGTAAAAAGTCAAATGGAAAATTAATTTTAGGACGGAGGGAGTAATAAAAATGAAGATGAATATGACCAAATAAATTTGGAAAATGCTAGGGGTACACCAAAAGTGTACCTCAAACATCCCCACCCCTCCATCACTACAAAAAAAAAGCAAGAAAAAATCAAAAAAAAATAAAAATTAAAAAAAATAAAATCAATGATAAAGAGAGTGGTGGTGTACATTTGGGATACACCAAACCCCTAGCATGTCCCAATAAACTTTTTGGAGTAATGAAAGTATGCGCATGTGCTCTTAATAATGTGTGAGACTTACAAGGAGGCGTGTATTGGTCGAACGTGAAGGGAAGACGGCAAAAAAACACTCTTGGAAAGAAATGAGTTCGCCGGAGGCTGTGGATTCCGGCAGGTTCTCCGGCCAGAAGTCGAACTTCTCTCAGACGTGCACCCTCTTTAGCCAGTACTTGAAAGAAAGAGGCTCTTTTGGTGATCTCCATCTCGGTATGTATAAATATATATACACACGTCTCCCAGACATTCTAGGCCTTTCTTATTTACTTAATTTGGCATGCTTTTAATGTTCTATCTCTGTTTGAAAGGATTTCAGTTTCAAATCCCTTGATTTGTTTCCTTGTGTGAAAAATAGGGACACCCAACACGACCCAGACAATGAATCTGCTGCCCATGATTGAGAATTCGGGTCCTGGTACCAGACCTGTGACCCGGTTCACTAATTTCGGATCCAACTTTACCAAAGAGGAAGAAGAGATCACCAAGAAGATCTGTTCTAGGTTTGGGTTTTTTTTCCCTTAATCGTCTAAAGATTCAATCTTTACCTAATTTCCTCGTTACCCTTTCTTGTTCTTGTTTAATTAGGTTTGGGGTTTTCCTTGATCTTCTAAAGATTTAATCTTTGCTGAATTTCCTCATTAGTCTTTGTTGTTCTTGTTTGATTTGGTTTGGTTTGTTGGGTTTCAGTACTGTGGCAAAAGGAGGAGAGGCTGAGAGCTCACAAATGACAATATTCTATGGCGGTCAGGTGTTCGTCTTCAACGATTTTCCGGCAGAAAAAGCTGAGGAAATTATGGTTTTGGCTAGCAGAGGAAGAACCACAAACAATCCCAATATCTTTTCCTACAACAACTCAACATTGCTGCCCTCAAAACCCGCCGAATCTTCTTCCACAACGGTTTCTATCACTCTTGGGAACCAGAAACCAGTTAACCCCATTACTACATCTGGTAAACCCTTGTTCTTGATTCTTGATTCCGTGTTTTTATATGCTGAGTATGATCATATTCACACATTCTTGGGTTTATGTGTGAATCGTGCCGCTTTGCAGACTTGCCCATTGCGAGGAGGCATTCGCTTGCCAGATTCTTAGAGAAGAGAAAAGATCGGTGAGCATTCAAAAGATCACATCTTTTTATTTAGTTTCTTCAATGTGAGACTATATCCTCAACACGATTGACATGGCGCACTTGAATTGCAGGATCACTTCAAAGGGACCGTACCAGATGATGGGCAGCAACGCCATGATGGTTTCTTCATCCAAGCCAGAAGAGAGCAACAAGGCTTGGCTGGGATTAGGAGGAGCCCAAATTACGGTCAAAATCGAACCCCAATCTTAACTTCTTCTTTGTTCCTTCTTTGGGATTTGATGATCAATTACTGCATTATGTTTGATGTGTAAAAACATTAATTAATAGCTTAAACACCTAATCTATGGTTTAAAGTTACTCTCTTTGAGATCAAAGAAACAGCAAAACAAATCAATGTTCATACCGTTGCGATCTCAACGGTGTGATGTTAGGACAAGGATACAGTCCCACATTGAACATTTAGTCTAAAAAAAGAATTATATTATATGGAGTATATAAGAATGAGAAAAAGACTAAACTAGGATCAAACATGGCAAAAGTACCAAAATATGAACTTTATTTTTTATTTCCAAAATAAGACCAAAAAATAGTGAGATGTCACTGTACAGTGTCATAATGTCACGGTGCAAACTTCTATTTTGGAGACAAAAATGTGAAACTCCTATTCTGAGGATAAGTGCTACGTTTTACTCCTATTTGGGACATTTTCTTTATAAGGATATGAGTTAATATACTCTTCTTATTGCCAATTGGCAATTGGTTCTGTATTGGAATATTGTAGTTCTTCAAAACACTAATAAAATTGGGATTTGTAAAAGTGTCAATTGGTGTGGTTAAACCAAGTGACTGTTGCCTGTACTTTCTAGAGATCACATTGAAAATGTGGGTTTTATGCTTTGCACTATTTAATTATTAGGGTAATTAGTCTTTCGTGTAGGTCAAATTTCAAATCTCGTCATTAATTCATTGACAATTTCCTCCCTTTATTCTATTCTTTTTTTTCTTGTTTTTGTCGCTGGGTACAGAGTATGTGTGTGGGGTTGGGAGTTTGGGTATAGGCTTTTTAATGGGTAGGCATCAAATTGATTTTTATTTGAATCTCATGGTCGGTTTGGGTGGAAATTATATTTCATTTTTCTATCTTGAGGAAATAAATTCTTGCATGTGGTTCATCTTTTTCCTTAAAATATATTTTCTCGGTCCTAAAAATCTTTTCTGTTTTGATTTTTTTGATCAAATAGTGACACTCTTTGATCATAAATTTAACATAATTAAATTTTCTTTTTCTACATTCTTAATCCTTGTATTTGCTTGAAAACACCAATGTAAAACCAAATAAAATAAACAAAAATAGTTGGGGTATATCAAGTGGTATCCAAAGGTATACATCACTCTTCTATTCACCCCAAGTTGTACAAAGTAAAAACAATAAAGTTAAAGGTACACCAAAATAAAATAGTGTATATCATTTGTACATCACACCAATATAGACAACACAAACACAATCTCTTTGTGATCCACAGATAGATAGTGTGATTGTGTTTGTCTGTTGTACAAATGCGATATATCATTTTGATACACTTTTAGCATGGCCCAACAAAAATGCTTGGGGTATAACTTTTAATTATATAAATTAATTTTCAAAACGTTACTTTTCAAACTTTAAAGTTAGACGCTCATGCTGTATTGTAGTAAAAAACGGTCTTAGTTTAAATTGAAAATTACTACTGCCTCCATTTTGAAATTAATTTTCATTTACTATTTCAGCAGTCAAATTTTAGTACCTTGTTTAGTTATTTTCACGACTTTCATAATACTTTCTATGTCCCAATTTAAATTATCCATTTCAATTTAGATGTTTGACTGAAATTACTTTCAATTCATTTTATATAAAAAATGTGTGAAATTTAAAACTAAAATTTATATATTTGAAAATCATATACAAAATATAAAGTTCTACAAATAACAGATGACATGAGTATGCTATTTAATCAAGTAAGTATCCAAAATGGGTAATAAAAGTGGTTAAAGTTTGAATATGTAAATAGTGAATAAATAACTTAGATTGGGACGAAGAGAGTATAAAAAAGTCATGTCACCTCTTGTTTCGTAAATTTTTTTATATTCATTTTTAATTTATAAATTTTATTTTTAAGTTTACTACGTACTGTTCAACCCGCCCATTTTGCTGTTTACTGTGAGGGCATGAGAATCGAAAGATTATGCCTAGGGATCCAAAATTAGATACTACGGGTGAACATCGATATTTAGTATCATTATCACATTGAACAACTTTTAATAGTAGTATGAAATTGATTTTTTCACAAAGGCTAAGAATGTATTTAAATCAGAATAAGCACCAAGTTTATGACGAAGAGAAAAAACCCATAAGAGCATTCGCGTTTGGGGCAAGCTCTCGCCATGCCACATCATCATCCTTCCCTTTTTCAACTTCATCCCAAAATACCTGCAATGCTATCGTTCTCTCGCACCGCTTCTTTGTTTGTTTTACATTTGTCAATATTTTTAATTAAAACTTAAATAAATTTACATGAAGGTATTTATTTATTAATAAAAATAGATCAGAATTAAATTAAAATTGATTCCTTAAAAAAAGGATTTCAAAAATTAAAGCCCAAAAAATGAATCGAGAAGAAGAAAGAAGAAGCCAAAAACATGGAAAGTTAGAGATCAACCAGGACAATCCAGATTCGTGAAGAAGGGGAAGAAAAAATTCTCTTCTCCATGGCTAGATCGAATCAAAGGCATCCAGTGAAGATGATTTATGGTAGAAAAAGGTACATAGATTCATCAAATATGTCATGACGGGAGATAATAACTATGTTAGTTTGGAGATCTAGACAATGGTTATTAACCACGTTCGTTTGAGGGGTAGCCAAGCTCAGTGAAGTTTATTTAGCTTCTAACCCAGTTCAGCATCAGTGTACGAAGTATGTAGAAGTGGATATATACACTTTGTTCGGGACAAAGTTGCGTTGGGCCATATTCGAGTCATGCACGTTCCATGATCCTCTCAGTATGCGGACATCTTCATGAAAGGACAACCATTTCAACTTTTTTGCTGACTTCATACACAATCTCGCCATTCGTTCTATATCGCCCAAATAGTTGGAAGCATGTTAGATATATTATACTCCCTCCGTCCCAAATTATAATGCATGTTTACTATTCACAGGGTCAAACTTCATTCACTTTCTTTCTCTATTTTCGTTAGCAATTTGATACGGAGTAAAATAAAGTACTGTTGTCACTACTAGTTTTGTAGATTTTTTGATGTAGTATTTTGATATGTAATTTTTATTTTTTAACTGCATACCATTTGTCATATAAAATGATTTGAAAATACTTTCAGTCAAACATCGTAAACCGAAACAGGCACTATAAATTGGGACGGAGGGAGTATTTAATTTAGTACTACCTCCGTCCCATTTTATAACGCCTGTTTCGGTTTACGATGTTTGACTGAAATTATTTTCAAACCATGGTATAGAATTAAAAAAATTACATATTAAAAAACTACATCAAAAGATCTACTCCGTACAAAACTAGTGGTGACAGTAATATTTTATTTTATCAAATTACTAACGAAAATAGAGAAAGAAAGTAAATGAAGTTTAACCCTGTGAATAATAAACAGACATTATAATTTGGGACGGAGGAAATATCTTAATAGTCAGCTTCTACCTTATCTACTTAGCCATATTTGTTACTCCGTATTATTTTTGGACTCTTCCAAATTCATGTATACACTCTTGTCCTCACCTAATCACCTATTGGAAAATCATCGGAAATATAAACCTTTTCATAGAATAATCAAATAAATTAAATTGAAACTAAAATGGTCAACTCTCATAATCCACAATGGATAATTCAAATTCGAACAAAGGGAGTACATAAGTACATCCATACATACCATATTGGCACCATGGATGATATCGGTCTTGTTTGGGAATAGCGTTAGCGTTTTGGATAAAATATATTAATGATGTAGATTAATCCAGAAAACGCTAATATTAAAGGCTAGCATCAAGTAGAGGTGGCAATCGGATCAACCGGATCGGTTCCGGGTTGGATTTTTTCGGTTCGAATATCTTTCGGTTATATGTTATAATCGGTTCGGATCGGTTAAATTTCGGTTCGGATTTGATTTCGGTTCTATACATTTTTCGGTTCAGTTCGGATTCGAGTCGGTTCAGATACGGTTCGGTTATAAATCGGTTCGGATAAATTTCGGATCGGATACAATTTGAGTCGGATATATTTCGGTTTCAGGTCTAGTTCGGTTCGGATATATTTCGGTTTCGGATCAAATATATTTTGGATATATATTATTTTCTAATTAAAATTTAACTATTTGTGTTTCTTTTTATGTTTTATCACATTAATCAATCTATCATCAATTCAATACCTCATATTATTTTATATTTTTTCTAGTTATATTATCTCTACCCTAAATAATCTTTCTTTTTTGACTTTTTAGTCATATTTTACAAATTTGGACTACAAATTATGAAAATATATATATATTTAATTATGATATAAATTTAATATAATTAAATTGATTTTAAAATTTAGTTTTGAAATATCAAATTTTTCTCACATCTACTACTCCGTAATATACTTATGTACATAAAGAAAAGGATAAAAGATAAATTCAAATAGTCTTATGTTCCATTTGAATACAATGTGGTAAAAATTGACTAAAATTGGGTGAAATTAAGTGAATTTTATTCAATAGAGTGCAAAATTTGTAAATTATTGAGTATATTTGGTTGAAAATAGAGAAAATTAAATTTAATAGAGTCAAATATAATTAATTTTACACCTAAATGTAATGGTGTAGATCAAATTTGAAAATGATAACAGCAAAGGCTGTCGCTAGAGAGTCTTTTCAAAATGGCATCTAATTTTATTGACTAATATTGAGTGAATTGGTTTGAAACTAATCAAATTAACTCTCAAATCAATAAAATTTATTGTAATGAGATGAAATTAGGATAAAATCCAGTTATTCCATACAATTCATCATATATTCCTTTCGTCCCAAAAAGAATATCACACTTCACTATTTAAAAATTACGGAAATTTCATTTGTTTGTGCGTTATCATTTATATGTATAACTTATCTTTAATTTCAACATATAACAAATTTAAGGCATAAAATTTTATACTTTATTTCAAGAAGATAATCAATTTTATGAGGGAATGAGCAAGTAATGTAATTAGTTCAAATGGTAAAATAAAAGTAAAAATTTAAAAATATAATATGCTTATTGAAAGGCAAACATAGTTCTGAATTTATCGATTTTAGTTCTATTCGGGTTCGGATATTATCGGTTTCAAATCTAATCGGTTTCGGATTTTATCGGTTTCGGGTATTATCGGGTTCGGATCTAATCGGTTTCGGGTTTAATCGGTTCGGATATTATTGGTTTCGGATCTAATCGGTTTCGGATTTAAATCGGATATGAATTATTTAGTTCGGTTTCGGTTCGATTCGGATCATTTCG